GGTTACTTAAGAAGCGTTGAAACAATATTCATTATTAAATGAGCTAGCTCACATTTCATTGGTATTGTTTTATCTTATGTTATAGCACATACTAATATCTAATGTTTGGTCAAAGAATGACGATCGTATGTACTGCTAAACTCGATATATTTAAGCTCGAAGTTTTTGGGTTAATGGGTCAGATCTAGCGAACTATTGACAATATGAAAAAAGTATTCAGTGCTTGATGTTCACATTCAATTTCTATTAGCCAAAAATAAGTTTCACCTCTTTAACTTCATCGCTCGTAGAATGAGGCCAGTTTAATCAAAAATCGAACATATCCGTTTTATTTTGATTAGAAAACTTTATTCCTCATAATGAGTACATTTTCTGGTTAAGCATCAAAAGCTGCATCTGGAAAAATAAGTCTCATGCAAAGATTTAGTTCCATAATTGAACAAATGTCGATCGAAGTTTAAACTTTGGAGTCGAATATCTCGAAAAATCCTCATCACAGAAACTTTTTAAGAGTACTAATGAACTCAGTATTTATTTCTCTACAACTAAGCACTAATTCTTAACTTTCTACTATAATATTCGAGTATTTGCAGCACTTCATTTGCAGATTTAAAAAGATGCTTACAATCGCTTGCAAAGTGTAAATGATTTCTTTAAATGGTTTAATGTTTAGTTATGTTACATAAAACTAAATTAGATTGATTGATACTTTGTTCGTATTTTATTATTTTCAAAACTAAGGTTCCAAATTGTAAATCCAAACCTTTAAAGCTAAATAACTTCACGAATTTCAGCATTTATAATCTTCATTTCAGTTGAAAATATTTATATTGACCATAATAACAATCGCTAATGTTTCTAGGTAAATTTTTTATTCCTGATGGTAAGTATGGATCAAATGGTTATTAATTCTTATCCGTCTTGTGTTATGTGCAAGAATATTCACATGTACGGAAGGATAATTTCGTGAAGTCTTTGGTACTGTACTAGTATAAATCTTATTACGGTGCATTTAATCGTAAAGCATTTCGTAAAGTATAAAAGTTGAGAGGAATATTGTTGTTTGTAAGTTTCGTATTCTAGAAAATCGAGGTTCTAAGTTGAGTAACTTGTCAAATCGTGAAATCGGTAGCATTTTATTCGAAATGATTAGTCTACTTCTATTTATTTGCTCTTTACCGTTTTTTTCGTTCAACATCAACAAGACAACTACAAATTTCTATGCTAACATACTTCATTTGATCTCAACTCGAACTGAAAGCATTTCATTCCTCGATTTAACATACAAATTAGCAAACACCGTTTTATAATTTTTATTTCAATTTTATTTATTAACATTATTATGAATCTTTCAAGGTACAACCATGTAAAATAGAGCAAACAAAGGGTAAAAAAGACATTCAAGCTCAAAGGCATCATTATAAGAAATAAGGAAGAGTTCAAATGTATCCAAAAGTTCGAGAGGAAAAACACTCAAAAATTAATGTGAATGAGTTCGAAAAGGTCGATAAAAATGAATTGCAGTGGTAACTGGAGTAATGAAAGATCGCTAAAGTTGTGCTTAATAATTGAGGTTTGTTTCAGATGAAATTGAAATGGAAAGCAAAGTCTCATGGTAATCGAGTTATTTGAAAGTCTCCCGTTTCCAGTCCCGATTCATCGTAATAGATTCTGATTGTAACAAATGAATACTTGAATCGACCGTCCATTTGGTTACAAGAATGTGTCTCATCGACTGCATGTTGAAATGATTTGCCAGTCTGATCATTGACAAAGGGTGGAACCACACAAGTTTCAATGTTAACAATTCGAGGTTTGATTCCATTGTTTCGCTGAGCCAAGTCAACGAACCATTCATTGACATCATTTAATAATGAACAATCTTGTAACGCACATCTGCAAACCGCAAATCGCCTAATGCAAAAATTGTTTGACTTTAATTGTAAGATATATAAATTTTTTGACCTTATCAGAAATAGAAAGAAAGCGCGAATCAAAAATAATCTTGGTACGAATATTTTTGCATATTAAATTCAATTTTGCTTAAAATTTAGTGTTTAATCAGCTCTAATTAGACTATTGGTATCATGGAATCACCAATTCCTCAATAAATCAACCATTCTAACCGTTAGATGGAGTAGTAACTGTTGCTTCAAGTTATTTATTTAAGAGATTATTTCATTTTGGGTTTGCTTCCAACTTGCCAAATTAATTTCTTGTTGTGAATAAATTTTTCCTCAAACCATCTCTGATGATACAATTATTTTACCGAGTTTTTCAGTATAATTCAACTTCAACGATGTTTCATCATTGTCACCAATGTGATTGTTATTCTAATCATGAGGATGATCAGCATCATCCAATACATCTAGTACATCAACAGAGCTTTACCGAACATTCAAGGTCTATCTTGTAATCAGAGTTGTTTGATTATGAACTACTTTTGATTTCTCTCTTCTTTCCATCTCTTTTTTTCAATTTACTGACTTGTTCACGTTTGTTAACGGGCAAGATAAAATTGATACTAAGGAGCACAAAGAGAGAGATCAAGTTTATCGTCAATTTGTTCCTCTATCTGTTGACTATGAACATCAGTTTGGAAAATGTTTCCACTTCAACTCTGGATCCTTCCTCGGTTAATACGATATGGTGGCTATCACTGTCTGCTGCAGCAACAGTTGGTCTCGTCGGAGTGATTCCCATATTTTTCATTTCTCACATACCTCATGGTAATCAAGGTAGGCTATTATTTTCATAAATTAACTCAACTTATTTAATAACAATCTACATTTAAACTGATTTGCAAAAAATCCCTTTCCTGGTTGCTTCTATTTTTAGTTGCTTTTTGAGGTTCTCTTGTTTTTTTTGCTGTCTGTTTTTACATTTAAACAATTTTCATGAAAATCAGTTTATTTGATTAGCTTGTTAACTGCTAGTTTAATTGTTCTCAGACAATTTCCTTACAATTCACTATGAGTAAAGATGAAATTGACTAATTGGTTAATCAAGTTGATTTCTTTCATAACTTGTTCATTGCTACTTTTTGTGCGCTCGTATTCAATCATTTTCAACTTATTCAACATTATCAAGCTTTTCAAGTTGATTATCACTGTTCAACTCAAGTGCGGTAGAAAGTAAGGAATGTTAATCTAATTAAAGTTGTTTAATGCGGTGTCATTAATATCTATCCTCTTCAATATTTAGGAGAACGTTAATAATTTTCACTTTTTATTGTATACCATGTATCTAATTATGACCCATTCAATGGGTTGATAATTGTATCAATAATTGAACATGCAGAAACTAATCACGAAACAGTTTAATGTCTTTATTCTCTAAATCATTACAACCATAACTAAATGTACATAATTGTCAATGATATTATTAATTATTTTCTTCAAACTCTCCCAATTAATGAGCAGGATCAAATGGAAAATTGCGGTTGATGTTGAGCTTTTCAGTTGGTGGTTTACTTGGCGATGTTTTCCTTCACTTGCTTCCAGAAGCTTGGACTTATGTTCATAAAGCAGGTTCATCCATCGAAACCCATACAACCCTTGGCCTGTGGGTAGTCTCTGGTATATCAACTTTTCTTGCCATTGAAATGATATTTGTCTTGACTTCTACAGAATCTGAGGTATTTTCTAAACTTCACCAAGTGTGTTTTTCTTTTATTCATTTGATTTTCCTTTACTAATCCATAGAATGACGACAAAAGTGAAAAAATTGTTCAAAAATCAACTTCTCAGGTGTTTACCAATTCTTCCAAGAATAAAGATAAGGATAAATGTTTCGTTAATGAGAAGAAGAAGGAGAATATCGCTCCACAAGCTTCATCGAGCGTCTCAGTGACTGGATATTTAAGTGTTTTCGCCAATGGTGTTGATAATTTTACTCATGGATTAGCTATTGCAGCAAGTTTCTCGGCTGGCTTACAGGTACATAATAATAATGATAATGATTTTTCATCACAAAACCATGTTTTGTTTGATTAACTTTTTCCATGCGTCCAGTACGCCATTTATGTCCTCTTTATCCTATTCTGGATTATTTAGAGCATTTTAGCTACAAATGAGACATTTTTTGTCTGATTACTAGATTATCTCTAATTGTTTTCGCACTTGTGATTTATTCAAAACAAAAGGTATAGATTGTGCGAAAATTAGATAATTGATTGACATAAATTACAAATTTATTGTTTTCTGATTTATTATTGATAATTTATCTTATTTTAACTCCGGTTTCATAACAGATTGGAATTTTAACCACAATAGCAATCTTAATACATGAAGTGCCCCATGAATTTGGTGATTTCGCCATTCTAATGAACTCTGGATTTTCGAGATGGAAGGCTATTCAAGCTCAAATAATTACCGCTGCTGTAGCTATGTTGGGTGCTTTGGTTGCTCTGTTAGCAGAAACAAATGCCAGTGAAGTTGGACAGCGCACTCAATGGATATTACCTTATTCAGCTGGATGCTTCCTTTACATTGCTATGAGCAACATATTACCTGACATAATGAAAGAGGACAATCCAAAAGAATCGGTTAAACAATTGATTTGTATTACAATTGGAGTCCTTATTATGGGTCTAGTCAATCAAATTGGGAACATTTCATTGATATCCTTTTTATAAATATAAAAAGACACATTTTATTTTCAATTTTAACTTAATTTACCTGAGCATCGAAGGACAAACCTTGTGACAAACAAAGACTTGTTACAATCACAAGCGTTAATGAAAATATTGTGATCTATCATTAAATACTTGTGTATATCAATTTTCCAATTGTACATTTATATTAAATTACAATTTAAATTATCTGTTTTGGTTGCAACATTTCTTGACAATCTATTATAATTTTCACCTAATTGTCTTCAAAATACGCAGAGACGAAATATGACTAATCTGCAAATTAAATTGTCTTTATGATGAGATTTTGGCACATTTATGCTTCACGCAATCAAACATTTTCACTGTACAAAGGTAAGAATCAAGAGTTGAATGACTAGCAAAAAATTAACTGCATTATCTGAAAATGTTTAAGATTCATGTGTTATATCATTATGTTTCGAGTGTATGAAATCCGGTAATGCTGATATCAGTTTGACAGCAAAATATCTAAATTTTGATGATTTAACTTTAAATTAAATTTACAGCATCAGCTTAGTTAATCGACATCATGACCAGTCACGTTCAACTGATTTGGAGCTGAAATAACTACAAAAATTGGATCTCATTTCAATCTGGTTGAATTGAGACAGAATAGTAAATAGATGTTAATCATTGAGATTAATGTGCGCGGTGAATTAACAGTTAAGAGTAAGACCTATGATGATAATAGCGAATTACTCTTGTTGAATGGTAATCAAGATAATCAATCTTTTTTTTCCTTTCCTTCAGTCAATTGCTCAGTCTTGGATCAATCTTACTCATTGTTGAGATAACAATTTGTTATTAGGTTCTTCCTGTTGCAATAAAATCATCCCTTTTTTAGGTTATTTATACGCAAATCAAATCAACAACCAAAGGAAATCATCAACATCCAGTTACACAGTTAACATCAACGGTCAGTGTTTCGTCTTGATTTAGTTAAGTGTTCAGTGTTATCCAATTGTTATCATCAATGGTTGCCATTTTGAAAAATGTCGATGGTGAAGAGTTGACAATGGTGAACACTTTGTTGACTCTGAAGGAACTGCAACGAATACCTAAAACAGGTTGGGGAATAAAGGATAAAGAAGTTGAAATTGAACGTAAAGGTGTTGATTTGTATTCAATTAAAATGTATCCACTTAATGTACTCAATGGATTGAAAGGTCATTTCACGAAAGATATGACAGTTTCAAGTGTCTATGAACCGGAGAGCAAGAAAATTATCACAACTTGGACAGTCTGGTAATTATTTCAATTGTAGAAATGAAAAGACAATTAAAAATGTTTAAATCTTTCATCGATACTTATTCTTATTTATTTAATCTTTTTCCATAATTTTTGTGGATGTGTGTTTGGGTGTTGTATTCAACTTGATCGTGTTAAAATGAATAGTAGACCTATTTAACAATCTAAATAATAACATAGATTAAAGACATAAAAGGTGAGCAATTGCAAGGTGGAAAAGAAAAGGTAAAGTTTAGGTCATGCGGATGAGGTTAGAGATTTCGGTCGATTTCAATTATTAATAATATACATTGAGTTGAAAGGGGAGAACAAATTTGTGTTTAAATTATTAGGTTCAATTAAATAAATGTAATCATCTCAGATATTGAATAGATTAGGGTTTACTTTTGCTTTGACAGTTCATAAATGTGACTGAGAAAGCAAAATCTTTATTTTTTGTTTTTTTGACAGAGTGAAAGAAAGTAGAGAAAAAGAGAAGATAGAGAAAGAGGGAGAGAGAGAGCCCATTGGGAAGATGAAATAGCTCAATTTTTAAATTATTAAGAATAAGAAAGTGAGATGAAATTGGAGTTGGTTTGAGGAGAGAGAAAGTGGATAGAAACACCAGCATTTTCGCAAACACAGTGGTTCTATAGAGTACTCAAAAAAGATTATCAAAGAATGCCAATGAAAAGGGAATGAGTTTAAGCTCGCAGCCTTTTCAAGCAGTATGGCATTTTAATATGATATTAACATCATCAAAGGGAGGGGAAGGTATAAAGAAAAAGCCATCTATTTGCTGCTCATTCAGACTTTTTTGAATCACTTTCCTTTGGCGATGCATCGCTTCTATCTTCACTCCTTGAGTCGCCATCTATAGAGCCTTCACCTTGACTTTGCCCACCCGATCTAGGAGTATCTGAGCCTCTATCTAAACTTTGACGTGAGCTGTCATCTCTTGAATCAGTACTTAATCGAAGTGGTCGCCTTCCAGATGTTGATCCTTTACTCGATGCAGTGTCACTCATAAGAGCTTCTTTCTCCTTTTTTAATTTTTCTTCGATTTCTCGTTCACGGGAAGCAGTATCAACTGGCTTAGCACCGCCAAATATTGCAGAATTTGAAACTTCTTGAGTAGCATTCTCAATGGGTTTTGTACGAGGCTGTAGCTTTAACTTAGGCCTTTCCTTGGCATCACCATCGACACTTTTAGAGTCCGTGGAAAGAGATGATGGTGAGTAACGTTGAGAACTTCTTGGTTCAAAAGCTGAATCATATCTACGACTGGACGGTCGATCACCATCTCGATCCCCTCTGTCAACCCTGTCACCTCCTCTATCGCTTCTTTCACCACGATCGCGATAATCGCTCCTTTCAGGGTACCTATTGTCTCGGTAACCATCTCGGTTACGGTTATAACCATAACCACCGCTACTGCTTCTATCATCCCGAAAACCATAATCTTTGTCACGGAAGCCGCCTCCTCGATTGCTTCCAAAGTCTCTATCTCTCGTGTCCCGGTCACTTTTCTGGTATGAACCACGCTCAAATCCACCTTCTCGTCTATCTGACTTATCATAACTGAATCGACCTTTGTAAGGTTGTGATTCAAAAGGCGTTTGGTAATCGCTACCATTACGAGGTGGATCTCGTTCTCGAGTTCCAGACCTCCAATCACCGGCCGTTCTATCCTCTCGATCATCACGATTACTACTATATCCACCCCTGGATGATCTATCATAATCTGTAGACATAAAGTAAAATGACCAATGAAATGAAGATACAAGACAAAATGATGGTATGAGAAGTAGTAGAAAAAGTAAAAATATGAAAACTGAGATACATACCCGTTCCTTCAGATAAAGAGATTCGAATGGTACGACTTTTTAGAGTTTCTCCATTCTGTTGTAGAGCTTCAATAAGACTCTCTCTGTCTTCAAATTCGGCAAAACCCATGCCTTTAATTCTACCTCGTTCACCATCTCTGATCAAAGTTACACTATTAATCTGTAATAAAATTCAAACAAATTTAAAAAATAAATAAAAATAACTCTGAAAAATAATAAAATGATTTAAAAAATATTGTTAATAAATACCTTGAGTTTTTTGAAGAACCTAATAATTTCATCTTCGGTAGCTTCATATGGAAGATTACCGAGATAAGCTTTATATGGTGGTCTATCTGGAATTTTGGATACATCAAAATCTGGTGTACGGATAGATTTAGGAACGGTTGGCAAAATAACTTTACTAGATGCTTGCTTAGATTCAAAGTATTTATCTGAAATTGAATTTATAATAGAAAAGCAAAAATTAAAAACTTATTCAAAAATTACAGCTGTCATTCGTCATTTCAAGAATGAAATAAAATAACAGGATGTAAGGAGAGCAAATCCATTTTCAGTCAATTTTAAAGTCATTTTCTAAGTCGATATTCTATTGGTGAGAGTGAAAAGACAGGAACGAATAAAGCTGAAGAATTTAACAAGAGTTTGCGTAATCAATAAAGTTGCTGGTTAGATCGCAAAAATATCAAAACATTAGACACTTATACTGCATTGAGACGTCATCAAAAATTGACAGAAAACAGAAGAGATGAATAATGATGATAATCAAAAGAGAAAAAATCCATACCTTCCTCTTCGTCATCTTGATAGTCAGCCCAATTTATAGGTTGGACAACTGCAAATCCTTGAGGTGCTTTCGTTTCATCGCTGAGGAACGTTTGAAGATTTACTTTAACTCCTTTAGTTTTTCGTTTACTTTTTCCTGCAGAAGAGAAAGAATAAAATTAAACATTGGTAAATTAATCCATGGCACAGAAGTACAACAATGCGATTCGTGTTTTCCATATTGGGTATCAAATATTAAAGGATTGTGGATGAGTCAAAAACAGGGGAAGAGGAGAAAAGAAGCAAGAGAAAGAGAGAGAGAAAGATAGAAAGACAGAAGGAAAAAGAGAGAGGAGAAAGAAAGAAAGCAAAAGAGAGGTTGATAAACAGAGAAGAGGATACATAGAGTGCAATAGAAAGACACACGGTCCCACACAAAATAAGCTAGAGATATAAAAGGCAGGATAGGTAAACGAAACAGGTAATGAAAGGCTGAGAAAATAATCAAAAAAAGAGAAAGAAAAGAAAGACAGAAAAGAGACTAGAAATGCAAGAGTCATTTTGAAGAGGAAGTAAAGGGAAACATGAGGAGAAAACACCGCAAACACAGGCTGCATTGGAAAAGTAAAAAATTATAACACCAGGAGTAGATAATTGAATGTCCAATGATTGGGACAATATTATTGATTTCACAGAACATTAAATTAACCAGATTGACACTAATAATTACCTTGAGAAGCCATAAGTAATTATAAATTACAACAATTATTTTTTAAAACACCGAAAAAAATCCAAGTATGAGGGAGAGAGAGAGAAGAAATAGACACACTTCACGCACTGAAAATCTGTTGGTTGGTTAAAGGGTCGGTTGTTATATTGCAAACAGTAAGAAAATTAACCAGAAAAGACACTAAAGATGAAAATTTATCTCTATTGTTTAGATTGTAAAACAAGTTTATTGTAACTAAATTTTTTCAAGATTTTCACTATACTTAATCCAAAAATAAGGGAAAAAAGTCTTTTCCAGAAATGTGGCCAAACTGAGCAAACTTATTGGACTGATTCAGTTGAGAGAGTGAATTGGTTTGCTATTCAACTCAAATATTTTACTCGCCTTTGATAATCCGTTTAAAGCCAAAGTAGTTTAAATCTGAAAAAACTATAGAATATCATAATTTTATCATCTGAACATTTGGTCTCGTTGCTTTACTTGTTTTGTGCTTTAAGAAATTATTGAGAAAAGCTTTCTCACAAGTCTGTCAGCCTTTTCAAGCCTTTAGGATAACCAATGGAAAAAGGTTCGTTTGAAATTTGAGCGAATTTCTTTATAACGAATATTCAAACAGGAAAATTTATTTTAAGCTACTTTCAATTCTCACTATCTGTCAGTCTTGACCAATTTACATGAAATTGTCTGGTCGATAGCTCAAGCATTTTTCATCTATCATTATTAACTGATAAATTAAAAATATCTCCGGAAGCACAGCAAATATTAATTAATTAATAAACTAATTAATAGAGCCAATAAAATTTAGGCTCAAGCTTACACTGTTTTAAAAATCAATGAATAAAATTATCTAAAAATTATCCAAAAATCTTGATTCAATATATTTGCCAAAGTTTATCTGAAATGAAATGAATCACCATTTTTTTGGTACACAGTAACTTATCTGGTTCGTTGGTTCTTTAATCTTTTCATGTGTTAGTTTAATAATCATATGCAAATATATTTATCTTTTAAATCTATTCTGTTATGTTATCAATTTAAAAATGCTACAATGTAATCAAACCTTATGATATATCGATAATATATCGATAGAATTTTCAATCCATCGATAATTACCAAGTATCTTTGGTTACTTTAACCGGTTACACTCACCTACCAGAAACTGCACCAAGCTGGAAATAGCTTATTTACACTATTCGTCGAGCAGCATAATTCATAATTTTCAATCTTCCTTAATAGACTAAATTTAACAAAAAATGTTGCTTTAAACTGATTTTGAGAGTTTTTGGATTGATATTTCACGAAAGAAAATTTAATTAACTCTATTAATAATTAAAGAAATCGAATCAAAATTCGACGAAATTCAAAATTAGATAAAACTCCTCCTTAATAGGGGCCATTGAAAAAATTATGTGCAGTTTCTGGTAGGTGCACTTTTTGGTAGGTGAGTGTAGTTTTTAAATTTAATAACAATCAAATTATAAATCAAGATTGGCATTTGATATAGAATTATAAAATATTAAATATTCATGGAACCTACGGATTTATTTTTAATCAACCAGATCAAGTAAAGGTTTGATCAAGGAAACATGATTAACCGAGAACACTTGAAACCAAACTTGACAAAGTTGTTTTGCTTTTTTCGGCAAACACGTTCTTCTTGACTTAAGTCCATTGTCCAAAAGCAAGAGAGCAAAAAACGGCGGTAAAAGTAAACAGAGGAGAGAGACATTGGCAAAGTTATGCTTTCTCTTTGCTTTTCACCAATAACCTTAATATTACCCAAAGACATCTTTATTGCTGTAGTTAATTAGTTCCAATGGTCATAAGTTGAAGGACAGTAAAAGACATAAATGTACTTCAATGTTGCTTCAAAAATGTTTTTACTATTTTTTAGATGATATATTATTTAACCTTTTTGTTCATATCAAGTTACCTTAACTGTTTCCAGCTGATCTCTTTTCTTTCCTTCAATTCTTCGTATCATCTCTATTATTATTACCATGGTTGAAGGAAATATTTCACTTAAATCTTTGAATGATCATATAACTTGTCACATCTGTAATGGTTACCTGATTGACGCTACGACAATAACTGAATGCCTTCATACCTGTAAGTAATTTTCCAAGTCCTCATCTTCTCTACCTCTTTCCACTTTTCTTAAACCTTTTTTTCCGTTTATTACCTTCATATTAGTTTGTAAAACATGTATTATCATGTGGCTTAAAGAGCACCAAGTATGCCCCATGTGTAAAGATCAATTTCTTCAAACCAGAAGTCTGCTCAATATTAGGTAAGGCAACTTTACCGTTATTATGTTATCTCCTTGTTTTGACTAATAATTTATTTGTTGTTTCAGATCTGATCCAACTCTTCAAGACATTGTATATAAGATTGTTCCAGGATTATTCACAGGTACATACACAATTCAATTGATTCAAATATTGATCTAAAAGAAAATTTTTCTTTGTTCCAGATGAAATGAAACGTCGACGAGAGTTTTATCAGAAGCACCCTGAGGCTGGTGAGCTATTTTTTATGTTTTGATACTTGATCTCACATTTGAATCAATATAAACACTAATATTTGATATCATTCATCCATTTTCAGCTGTTAATCTGACAAGTGAAGAAAGAGGAGAAATCAGTGGTGAACGTCTCATTTTCAGTCCTGCAGATATATTTTATCTATCGATTGAATATCTACCCGAGGTCTTCTCTTATACATACATTCCTTTAATTAGAAGCACAACTGTTGTTGGCTCAAACGGATTCCCTGTAAATGGTGTTGAAAAACATAACCAACGACGATACTTTAAATGTAAAGGTAGCATGAAAGTTCTTCACCTGAAAAAGCTGCTACAGCTCAAGTACGAATTAAAAAGACATAGTGACATTGAATTGCTTTACAAGCATGACACATTATCAGATGACTACAGTATGATTGATTTGGCTTACATTTATTCATGGAGAAGGAATGGACATCTAAGCCTCTACTACAAGATCTCAAACACTGTTTAAATTAACTTTAAAGACCTGAAAAAAGTATTTTTATCGACTATTTTGCTCTATGGAACTCACAACTTCCAAGATTTTTATAAAAAAATTCCGGGTGCACTTCCTATTTTTGTATTTTGAAAATATGTACCTTTATACAAGTAAGCACTTTGATCATGTTTATGTGCCTCATTAAATTCAAGTTTAAAATTATTTTACAATTTAAGTTCGTAAACTATCATTTAGATTTTTCAGCATCATATCGGAATACATTGTATATTTGGTCAATCAAATTGAAGGAATACTGTAAAGCTACGAAAAGATATAATGGATCGACGGGTACAATTGATCTAATGATTTCTTAAATTAACTTTAACATCTTTAAAACTCCATCTCGAAAACCGAAATCTTCATATCTGTCACGAAAGCCGTCTCTTCGAATGCTTCCAAAGTCTTATTTCTCGTATTCCGATCACTTTTTGGGTTGAACCTAATGAACTGATTCAGTTGAGAGCAAAAATCTATGTTCTATTTAAATGACATTCAAATTATTTGAATCAACTGTGATAGTCCATTTAATGACAATCATTATTTTATATGTTCAAGCTAAAAAATATCAAATATAAAGCAGACATTTGAATCTGGTTCAGTTTGCTTGTTTATTTTTTTCTTGTACAAATGATAAGGAAAGCTTACTGAAAAACCTTTGGGTTAGCCATTTGAAAACAATAAACCATTAAAAGCAAACATGGACAATCAATCCGATTGTTGTGATTGGGTGTGTCAGCCATTTTTATGAGATATTCAAAATAATGTAAATTTTGTCAAATAATAAAATGAAAAGGAGTTTCAAGAATCTTTTCATTAACCATTTTTAACTGATAAATTAAAAATATCACCGGAAGCAAGATAAATATTAGTAAGGGATTCATTGATTAATATATTTTAATAAAATTAATCGTTTTTAACTGGTCAAATGATTAATTCCATAGAAGTTGCTTCAGCCATAGTTAATATCAAAATTACTTTTTACTTTCAGTTTTACAACTCTTTAAGCCTTTTGTATGTAGACTATTGAAGTTAATTGTGATGTACTTTCACTTATTTTATTTTCAATTTTCAAATTGTCATCTCCGAGTTATCAGATCTGAGGCATTTTGTCTAATCAACAGACAATTGTTCATGAATGTTGATCACGAAATATTGGGTTGAACCAGATAAAAGTTAATATTACAACTGGATATTGTAATGTTTCCTTCTGAATATTACAATTTAAAAGCTGAATATTACTCAGGTAAATCTTTCGATAGACTGATGCAAGAACTTAGGATTTAGATGATCATTGATAGGCTTTATTTTACATTTTTTGTTGATGAAAAAATGATTCATCAAAAAATTGACTATTTTTTGTCTCATAGCTATTAATCACTAATCGATTCAAAAATTGGGTTCGTTTCATTCAAAATTTTCATTCCTCGCCTTATTTCTTCTAGGAACTGTGAGTTTTTATCATTATCCAGCTAATTTACTTCAACAACGTTAATGATCCAAGAGCATTTATCCCTTCACTCGCTACGTTGAATACGAATTCTGTGTTCATTCTCATAATTTCTCAAGAACCTGAATACTGGGAAAATGAATGTACATAATTTTTCGTCGATGTAGCTCAATCTTGAGTTTCATGCTGTTTTAATTTCAGTTCAAAGAAATTTTGACACAAAAATTTGAAGCATTGACTTATTATTTTATTTATTAAATAAATAGATGGATATATTGTTGAGTAAAAGAGTTGAAATGTTTGTTTTGGTCCACTTGAACACATGATTAGAGTTAAGAAAAAAATAGCAATATGATGATGAGATAGAGTGAGAAGGAGAGAAAGCAAATGAAATTTTGATAATGAATAATTAATGATGGTAAAGGGCGGTGGTCCTCTTACCAGAGGAACCTTAAATATTTGACAAAAGTGATTCAGTGGAAACAAGGAAGACATCAGAGTGATGATCATGATTATTTTCATTGTGAAATGTTAAAATGGTTTCCGTTAGCTGAAGGCTACAATATGAAATAAAAGTAGCTCGACTGGTCCACTTGTTTTTGGTTAAAGCCTTTTTTTCAACTCGTTGTTTAATTTTCCTTTCTGGTTTCGTTTCTGGTTTACCCTTTTTAGTTTATTGGGTTCAATTGGATTATTAATTTAAGTGAATACTTGTGATCACCATCTTGCCGCAATGTGACCCATCATTGGTTAAATGGTTTCTTTGGTCAACATTTGGTAATTTCTCACGTAAATCCTTCGAGACAAATTCAGAGAAAGAATTGTGCGATTAAATTATCATTCATCTAGTTTATAGAGCATCAAGTAGCTAGTCATGTTTTCACCATTACAATCATCATTTCTATCCAATGTTACGTGTTATTTAATCATTCATGGTCAAAATGAGTTCGACCATTTTCTATTTTCTTTCCATTCAACTTTCTACTGTTGACAATACATGAGATGATTAATTTAACTGTGAAACGTTAAAATTTGTGCGACCAAAATATGCTTTGTTTGATGTTAACCAATTCTCAAAGTGATAATTTGCCTTATTCTGGTCACTCACTGTTATATTTGTTGACAAGCGAGACTCTATTAGAAACGAGATTCACATTTCTAACAAAGCTGAAACATTTGTTGAACAAGATTTCATCGGTGATGAAGTCTAGTTTACATCAAAGATTAAAGTTTGATCTGATTTACCTGGTTCTTTTTGCTAACCGGCAATTGTATTGTATTGATTACAATAATTTTCATGATAATCATCATAGCCATTTCACAATCATCGTCACATTTCATCAATTCAATTTGAATATCAGTAGATCATTCATTATGATTCCCTATATTTATACCTTTCTTGGACTTCTCGTTGGTAATTCACTTCTTTCCCATGGACATCCAGTAAGTCATTGAATAACTTTGATTCAAAAAATATCTAATTTACGGAAAATTGTATTCATTTTCTTAACAGTGTGGTACTGAAGCAGCTGAGGATACAATCGATGCTTTTCTAGAAAAGCCGTTATTTGGTGTTTTCAAAGTATGGCATCTAGTTATGATTGGAATGTTGATAGCCATAATTGCTACGATTGTTGCCTGTTGTATAATGAGATGCAGGATACCTCGAACTAAACAAGAAATTGAAGCAGACGCTATTCGTAAAAAGGTTACTAAGCAATTCAGAGCCCATCTGAACAAAATCCCTATCGAAGGAATGGAACTAATTAAAGGTAAGTCAATAACTGTTCAAGTTAACCAGTCTGCCAAAAATTTTCCCTCTTATTGGATTTTTGTACTCAATTTATTCTCAATCATTTGTTTAGTGCTCAATGAAGTTAAAGAATATGAAGAAGATAGAATCAAAAAAGGAACTATCGAAGAAAAGAAAACTTTGATGAAAAGGTTAAAAGCACTTTTCAAGTCTGATTCTATGGAAAGATCGATGTCCAGAGATGATGCGGATGAAGGTTCGATCAATGAAAAACCCGGATTAACAAATCCCAAATTGACCAACACCATTGTTTCGATTACATCAGATAATGATCCAATAACGGTGTCCAGTCCAACTCCATCAGTGACCAAAGAAAAGTATTAGCAAACCAGAAAGCGAAATGGACATTGGAAATTAAATTTGTTGTTTAAAGCGTTACTCTATGAAAAAATGAAATCATTTGCATGTTTAACAATCAAGTTTAGTTGTGATTCGTCAACATGTTCATCAAAGCCAAAAATCTGCCAATTCATAATGTCTAGGGCATCTCGAGTCCAATAAATCGTCTCTTTTCATACAAATATAATAAATTATAAACATTTACAACCAAATCTGTATTCACATACGATTATTACATAAAAAAGTAAATCTCAATTGATTTGTTCAATGATTAATATCTTATTTTTAAGAAAACCTTTCACAATATTCAAAAATTTAAAATACGATTTTATTGTATTAAATCTAATGGTTTAATAGTATGATAAAAATAAATCACTTATTATCTAAGGTGAATCAAATTTTTACATGCTTATAATCAACATGATGGTGCACTATTGTCGACGGGAACAAAAGATGATTTGTTATTAGCTCAGTTACATCAATTGTTTTAAGATAAAATTAATATAAATACAAAGCAAAGACATAAGAAATATTGCATACTAAAAAAGGCAATTTGTCAGGTAGCTTAAAGGCACAATAATGTCAAGTTCAATGGTTTTGATTGAGATTGCGACTGTTAATATTAAATGAGGAGTAAATAAATTAATCAGGAACAAAATTGAAAATGGGAAGTTGGTCATAAAGATGATAGTTTGTCATGACACAAATTTGGTTCCCCGAGTTTCTAATTCAAACTTAGTAGCTTAATACGAGTATTGTTTGATTAGATTTTTTGAAGATTGCTTTGCTGAAGATTTTTTTAGTTGCTGATTTTGAGATTTAACTATTAGATTTTTATGAGTGAAAATCAATAGATTATCCATCATGGCACAATTCGGTGTAAGCTTTTCATTAATTTCTCATTAAGAGAGTGTGAGATTATTAACGTGTGCAAAAAGTGACAATAATTTGGATTGATTCACCAAATTTTTCTTTTTATGGCAAAGAAAGGAGATACTTTGTGTGATTATGCAGAGTTGGTCCACTGGCCATATTCATCTTTACGATAAAAACGAGATCCATTTGAAAAAACAGTTATACTGGGGAATGGATGCTTTTTAATGAACTGGAGAGCTTGTCTAGTTTCACGAACATAATCTGGACTCTCAGCTTCAGGGGAAGTTGAAAGACACTGTAAAAATAAAAATGCATAATTAGTCAGAATTGGAAATTTTATCACTAATGAGCAAATAGGATTTTACCTTGAGAATTATATCATCATCAAATTTTATCCAGTCATCAATACATCTTACTGGTTGATAGCAGAAAGGTCCAATTTTCAGGACACCATAATAGCTTTCATAGACATTTAACATTTCAGGAGATCCAGGGGACAATAAACGACTGGATCTTAATGCTAAGTCGGGACCTTTATCAGCAAAGTTTGCTGGAAATATGTCACCAGATTTAACGTTAACAGCTAAGCCATGAATAACTGGTAGGTTAACGTTGCTTCTTACAAAAGTGTTCAGTTCACAAATACATGCTGTTATAAGATGGATATTTACTGGCTGCCGATTGAAACAATCTGAAACAAAAGTAAACAAAAAAGCTTGAGCTGTAAAAAAAGCTGACGCATTTTTCGAGAGTTTTCATCCAATCAAGATCTGTTAAGTGTCAATTAAATGCATTGATTAAATCTTACATAAAATAGACAGACAAAGCTCAGTTGAATATCCTTTTGAGTCGTTAAATCCTCCAACCATATGCAGTTCTATTTCACCATTCACTGATGATGAATATTCTTGAACTTTGTGAATCATTTCTTGAATTCCTCTTTCCGTGTCTGAGCCATCAAAATGACCCAATGCAACAACACCTGTTCCTGAATGACGAAGTACCACGATACTACATGTAGTTGCATCTGGTGTTCCAACAATATTGATGCTTGCTGATAAAAAAGAATAGAGATTAGATTTTTGCGACTTAAATTTAAAACAGAGAGAAAAGAAGCTTTTGAGCCCAACAATGTTGTTTAAAATCAATCTTGACAGTAAATCATACTTGAAAGGCTCAAACAAAAATGTGGTATGAAGACAAAGTATTGTAAACTTACGATCATTTGGAGCAACAATTGCGAATTCACGTTGTATCACACACAAAGATCCAATAGGACTGACAGTTTTATGAGGAAGGGGTAGTAATCGTCTAGAATATTCCTTTGAGTAAAATTCAAAAATAAAATTAAATACGCTGATGAATATTAAGATAGACTAAATAAATTTAACTTAGGTGAGAAGATAGGACAAAGAACACGATATGAAAAATAATTGCTTCTGACCTAACCCAACATTTTTTTGGGTTCAAAACAACAATTTTACCATACCTTCAATGATGGGTACGCATCCAAAAAAGCTCGAGTGTCCGAATGTAATTTATCCATAATAGCTCCATTGATAAAGAGAGGCATTTTTGTGAAGAAGATAAGGCGTTATTCAAGCAAAACAATAAACAATTAATTTTCTTAAAAAATTACCAGTTAAAAAATTTGAAAAAACAAAAACAAGGAAACCAACTAATCTTTAATCAACAGATCAGCAGATGGCGCAGCAGCCTTACCAGCACTAAAAAACGTTCAAGTTTCATTTGAAATTGAAACAATGTCATCTGAAAATTTCATGTATTACGGATGCATGGATGACTGATGATTCTGAATATTTAAATTGCTTCAAAGTTCATTTTCATTGTCATTTGTCCCTACTTAGACCTTTGAAAGAGCAATTAAATACATTATCAGATTATCAAGTCTTAGGTATTGACTTATTTACTTTGAATCTCTTACAGAGCTTTCCTCAAACTTTATGTTTTAAATTCAATTTTAATTAATTTCTGAAAATTTATCCAATTACTGATTCTCTATATGGACTTTAATTGCATGTATTTTCGAACAATTTGTGAAGATGTCTGAATTTGAATGGAATGATGAGAGGGAAATGAGAAGCAAAGTTGATACGAATCTAGTCAAGTACATAATTATTGACATTTTTTTGCTATCAAATCGTAACCTGTAAGTCAATGTTTAACTTTGACACGGAGGATGATAAATTGTTAACTAAACAATTATGTAGAGCTGGATATAAAGCTAAAAGGCCAATATTGTGCCAAATTTCTGTGTACTTTGGGATATAGCTATGATTATCTTCTGAGAAATGTTTGTAATAAATGTCTTGGTACAATAAAAAATCAATTTAATGGCTATCAATTAATTTGCTAGATCATAGATTAGAGTCAAATTGATCATCAAGAGCTGAGTGACTTCAATTAGACTAACTTGCACAATATTACCAGTTGCGTCCTTCCCTTGCTTCGTTGTAACACAAGTCTTGAATAAAAACGCTTCATTCGCCAAATTAATCTATTAATAGCCATGAAAGCTCTGAGAATGTTTTCATTCATTTTAATCATTTTAATTGTCCCGCGCGATTTATACGCTGCAACTTTAAGCCAATATACGGCCAATCCAGCTCCTAGCTAGTAAGTATAATCCTCATTGTTACCTGTGATTTTCATATCACATGAGTTGAATACCGTTTCTTTGTATTTGATGTTTATAATTGATATTAAATTTCTTTATACTTTTTAGCCAATATACGAATGGTTATGGAAATTATCAAATAGTTTGCCAGCCTAATCAATTTCGCTGTTCCAGTGGTTTATGTATCCACGAGAGCTCAAGATGTAATGGTAAAACTGAGTGTCCCTCAGGGGACGATGAGCAACTTTGTCCGGCATCATCATCGACTACTACTACTTCAGCACCAGTCAAGAATCCTGATTCTCCTGCTGATTGTGCTCCAAACATGTCCTATCAGTGTCAACAAAGCAAACGCTGCATTCCTTGGTCACAGTTATGTGATGGTAAGATCCAATGTTTGCTCGGGGACGATGAAAATCAAACAAACTGTAAGCTTGTTCCTGGCTTTGATCAAAAGCAACAAGGAACAATCAAACCGAATGCAATCGAATCCAATGTAAAGCCAATCAACAATGAAACCAATGTAACTGAACCTCCAATTTACCAACCGACCACATACGACTATTCAAACCAAGGTAATTCTAGTAATGGCGGTCCAGGTGCGACAGTGGTTAAGGTTAACAAAGTTGTCCAAAGTGCTGATCGAACCACCAACGAATTCCACCCAAAAAAAGATGATTCTGGTTTTCTTTTCGTAAATTTTGGCCCGAGTAAGTTTTGATAAAATTTTGGCTAAATCTAATTTCTGCAACAACCATTTTATTTGCATTGTTATTTATATTTTCAAGTTACTTTTAGTTTGTTAATCATCTTTTACCAAATTAAGCCATGCTGGCTTCGGTTAGCTGATCATAAACTATCAAATATTCTTAACGATCATTACAGGATGCTTCTTGGTAATAGTAGTTGTCTTTTGATTACAATTACCTGTTCATAAAATTTAAAGACATAACGTCATTTCTCCTTTAATAGCCTATCAATTCAATTTGGGAATCATCATTAATGATGAATTATTGTTATACAATGCAAATAAAATAATTAAAAGGTTACACAAATTATTGAAATTAACCAATAAATTTGTAAATATCAATGTATTGTTATATAATTTTTACCACTTTAATTGGAAAAAACAATCATTAATTATGACGAAAAATATTCCAACAGTTATCAATGGAGATAATAATGTCAATGGTAATGGTAATGATCTTGGTAATGGAAACGAAAACGGTAACGGCAATGGCAACGGGAATGGTAATGGCAACGGGAATGAAAATGGAAGTGGAAATAACAATCATTATCAAAAGTTCATACCGTCCGGAGAAGATTATAAAAATTACTATACAGAAGGAAAAGCTTACTACCCTTGATGATTCGGTTCAAAATAAAACTATTATCATTATATTATAAAAAAAATGCAAAATATCAATTTTTATTCATCATCTTCAATTTTAATTCTACCGCGCTTTGCTTTAGTTAGTTTTGGTTTTGTTTCAGGTTTTACATCATCATCTTTAACTTCGTGGTTCCAAACTCGCTTTTCTTTACCGAAAGTTGCACCTGACGCTAAAAGGTCCCGTATCATCTTTTTCTTTTCATTTATCAATCCAATGGAAACATCAATCAACTTTTTAAATTCATTTTGCTTCAGTTGAGCAAATTTTTCCAGTCTATTCGTAGTGTCGGCGCAATTCTGTTTCAGCCTCTTGTTGTTATCAGATAATTGCTTGATCTTTGCATTCTTCTCGGCTATACTGGCTTTCATTTCTTTCAATATTTTAGAAACTATCTGAGTAGCCTCGAGAGATGCTTTTTTCAGAAGTACATTATCAATAGGCATTCTTAGTACTTCGTCGCCCTCTTCATCATACTGAACCAATTTCCAAGTTAAAAGACATTTCTTGGTATCCAAAATAAATATGTATTTGGTAGTTCGGGTGGAATCAGTTTTGTTTCCTCGAACAAAGGCTTCCAAACTTTGATCTCCATGTAAATTTGTTTCATAGGTTCCAGTGTAAGCCTCTAAAATGTTGGTCAAAATTAGGTTCACTTTTAAAGAATCACCATCCCGGTTTATAATTTCACTCTTAAGAAAATACTCTTGACCAGGTTTACCATCCATTTCGATCGAGGTGATGCAAGTCTTGTCATCCATTGCATCCATGGTCAACAGAAAAGTAGAAAGAGTATAAAACCAAATAGCACAGAAGTACCCAAGCACAAAAAAAGCTAAAAAAGAAAACAAACTTAAAAATATTAACCCGGTAACTCTTAAAATAAAAGGTAATTAATTTTAAAATATTATATTAGTTAACTGTAATCCAAATAATCGCCTTCAAAATAAAAACAAAAGCCAGTAAATTGTGACTTTCCAAAAAGCCCGCAAATTTTAAATTTTCTCTGATTATTTTTAAATGACATTTTTACTTGATAAACTCAAATCATTTGAATGAATGAACAGTTTCATAAATATTATGTGATGATTAGCAATGAAATATGATTAAAATTAACATTCTAATTTCATGTTTACTTCAATAAACATTTATGAAGGAAATTATTGAAAATAAAATGAAAGAAAGCTTTTGAAGATTTGAATACAATAGATTTGATTGTTTTGTTACCAAATTGTAATTAAGTTGATTACATTTTTTTGCAAAATTTTTACAGAAGGAAAAAAATGAGCAGACTTTTAACAAAAAAGACGTCTGCAATTTTGAATAAGACCAATAGTCGAGATAAATTAAGTTTATATCCCTTCAATTTGCAACAATCAATGAGAAGGTGAAGGTAAACAATTATTTTTGAGGTAAAAAAAGTTACATTTCCTACTAAAAATTATCACTGTAATTGCTCATAACTGTAGCTTCCTAAGAAGTATGATTGTCAAGGATTGAAATGGTTACCAATGTTGTACCAACGGAAACTGAATTCAATATGTTTTAACAGCCTCGAATGTTTGTTAATTCATTCAAGAGTGAACAATAACACTATTAAAGGTTACCTTCAACAATTAACTGAAACGCGAAGGACATTTCCCTCTTGACCAAACATCGACTTGACTATTTGATAAACTGTCTCGCGATCTGTGATCAAAATTATATCAACCATAGAAAATTAATATTGTAAACTGAATCATCTTTGCATGATTTCAATCACACACAATAATCTAATCAACAGCTTGTGTTTTTGCGTGATGATGTAAAAATCAAATAGTAAGTTAACTATTGCCTTTACTTTATTTCCGTATTCAATCTCAAATGATTAAAACATTCAAAATTGGTTATGATTGTGAGACTGATTTGGGTTGAAAGGACTCTTAAGACTCTTTTCATTGAATATCTGAAAATGCCAGTTATTGGACAATCATTAATCATTATAGTCTTGAATGACATCAACCACAATATATTTGATCATTATTTTTGATAAAATCAGGTGAAATAAAATGTACAAAGTGATTTAGTGCTTTTAAAAAAAGATATTTTCATTTTTCAATAGACAATATATATGATAAAAAATAAAGGTGTAACACATGAAAAGAGCCAAATACACAATTTGAGAAATATAAAGTAAATTCACTTGAAATCCACAGTGGTATTTGATTTGAATAGATTTAAATTAATCGTGAAAAGTAAATAATAAATTGGATGATACATTGACATTAATTCATCAATGGATGATTCAAGTTTGATTAAAAGGGATTTTGGTAAGTTGATTCATTTTTTTTATACCTTCATTTTGACTCGTCTCTCGTGTTACACCCTTTTACAAATCTATCGATTAAAAACTTATCGATTACCCTATTGTATATAATATTTACATCAATCACTTTTGTATAGAAAGTTATCAAATTGATTCTTAAACGTTTGAAGGCCAATTAATGATGTTAGTCATTAAAAACAAAATGATAATCTGATATAATGATATGCATGATTTTCAATCGTACATTTTTAAGGCTTCACTTAGTTCGTTGGATATTCTTTGATAAAATTCCAATTGGGCTTGGACAAAACTTTTCATCATTTGCTTTGTATCTGAAATTCGCTCCTTTTGGAAATGATTTATTTCTGCCAACATAGCATATGAGACGACATCAGCTCTTTGGGACACTGATTCAACTACTTTGTCTTCAGCTTTGCCTTCATCTCGTAACCTAAGGTAATCTTTCTTGCGTCCTAAGGCTTGTTTATTTAAATCTAATATCTCTGGCCAGGCGGATAAAATGCCCTTGTATTCATGGAGAACATAAGATAATGGTTCGAAATCATATTTAGGTTGTTCTTCATACATTTTGGCAATTCTATCGAAAGTATCTCCGGTACCACGGATAGCTTCATTTAATTGATGATCAATATAATCACTTGTATCATAGGCAGAAGCGAACGAATTTAAGGCTATGCTTATTTTTTGCATTTCTTTCTTATATGCTCCAGAATATTTTCGGCACTGGTCAATAACAACATCGGACATAAATTGAATTGATTCATCCATTTTTTTGACAAATTTACCGAATGATTCAGTTCTTGATTCAACAAATGTGACTTCCAAAGGCACTGTGGGAGGTTGAAGAGTATAAAAAAATGAGCCTCCGGTGAACTCATCCTTCTCTGCGCGACGTTTACCGGTTTTCCAGCGTTTTTTATCATCTGTACAAGTTATAAAATGCATCCAAACATCAGCCTGGGAAATTACTGGATGCCGACATATACGATTTACCCACAATTGCAGCTGAATTTTACGATGTTCAATGAATTCTTCTGAAAAACGCCCACTGATTTGTTTAGCAGGTAACCATGGAATTGGGATGGCCATGAATTTGTCGGTTAAACATCCATATAACCAGTCAAAATGTTTATATCTCCGACTAACCATAATATTATTAAAACTTGGCGTCAACTTGTAAGCTGTATATGTTTTAAGGCCTTTCAGTTTGCTCTCCTTTTTCGGTGCAGTAATGGTACAATAATATTCTGATTTAGCTGGTGCCCACATAATTTCATTTGATGAAGTTTCAATAATATAAATGTAAGCATCACAGGGAACCTTGCGAGTCTTAGAACCTAGGATAAAATCTTCTCCTCCTGATTTGACAAAAGTTGAAAATCGATTGATACTTTTTTTAACTGGAAGCTGAGATTTGCCACTAGCTAGGGAAAGTGAACTTTGGGCCGGATTTGGCCCCGATCCAAAGCCAGATCCGCTTCCAGCACCAGCCCCTATTGTATCACCACCTGATCCTTGACTATCATCATCATCCCAATCTTCATCGCCCCAATCATCTCCTTGGTCATAGTTATTTTCTTGCATTTGACCAATGTTTGTTGGACCACTTGGTGGTGGAAAATTAGGTACTGGTGGGTTAAAAGTAGATGACACTGATGAAGATGTTACAGGTGAGAAAAAATCATGTTCTGTTGTGTTGTTAGTCGATTGTATTAATTCAACATAACCAGCGGGGAATAGGCCTTGTTCTCCTCGGCTGTTACACCCTTCCCACCATCCTTCACCAACATCTTGCCGTAGAACGGTTAATATTTCATCAGCATAAATGTCCAGTTCTCCAGTTCCAGGTTGAGCTTGAAAGTCATAAAGTACCCGGCACTGAGCAGTTCCATTAGTTGATAAATGGGACATTATTGCTTACCGATGATATAAATATTAAATATGCAGATTCCGTTGCTTTTTCAATCGTCCAGTGGCAATGGACACAAATTATTCAACAGGCTTTATCACAGGTCAACTAGAAAATAAATTAAGATGAGAAAGATTGTCAGACACTTATGAATAACCAATAGATTTAAATAAAATAGTCAAATTAAACTAATTAAACAGAGAAATAGAAAGGAGAAAAAACATGAGAGAAATTGACAGAGGGAGAATGGGAGGAAAAAAATTCAAACAGATGAAAAGAAAAAGAAAGAGAGAGGGAAAGCAAAAGAAAGAATGGAAACAAAACAAGAATAAATGTCAGATTAGAAGAGTCACAGATATGCTCTTGATTTACCTGTTTCTAGTGATAATTGAGTTGACAGCAAGGACAGTAATCATCCGCAACGTCTCCCAGTAATTAAAGAAAAATACAGAGGTAAATTAAGTGATGAGAATTGATGGAGGTTGGTGTGAAAATTGGGTCCACACAGTATAACATAAACAGGCTATGATGACAAGCACAAGTTTGTTTTTTGATTTTTATGTTGTTATTGTGTCGTTGGACCGAGTTTACCAGTAAAGAGAAAGAGAAAAAGAAAGAGTGAACAAAAAAGAGTAGACAAAATAGACAATAAGAAAAGGTAAAGTAAGAAAAGAAGAAAAAAATGGAAGTTGTTGATGTGTTAAGGGTTGTTAATGTTACTTGAATTACACACAACAAATCCCAAGAAAGTAGAGACAAGCTGATTACAGACTGAATCTAATCTCCACATCCAATCATAAGCACATGATTGACCTGGTTATTTAAACTCGTAAAACATCGATGTAAATTAAAAATACATGCGACTTTCAAGTTGAATTGAACTCATTAACGGTTAGCTAAAGTCAATGTCTCCTCAAATCAATATTCAGGTTCAGGACAAGAGACAAAAATGAATTTGATTTGTCAGTATTTAGCTTTCTCAAGCCGCGAATTATAAACTGCTTTCAACTTGTAACGATAAACAAATTAACCATAGTTACCTTGATTAAAATCATTCTTGGTCTATTAATGATCATTTTTAATAATTACAGAGAGTTGACAAAAAACTAAAACAAGAATGGGTTAAGGAAAGTTAAGGGAATATCATTTTAGTAGATTAAAAGATGATTTAGATGAAATTAAGAGTTTATTAACTTAAATAATGCATCTAACTGAATGGAAAACCATTTAAAGATGATATTTAATAATAAAAATCATAGTTATAAGTTTCAACGATCAGCTGAACAATATAAAGAAGGTAAAATGATTACAAAAAGATCTCAATGAAGAAACAGCCTGAATAGAGGTTTACAAAATATGTACATGATGATTGATAAGAAGCTGAATTGAACTAAATAATAACCAATGTAAATCCATGTCATCCGTTTCTTAGCTTCTGGAATGGTTGAGTCTTCCTCTTTGAGAAGATATTTTCTTATTCCTAAATACAATCTATGAGTATAATTGCGCCAGTTGATGGTACTTATATCGATATTGAATTTTAACTTGTCCTCTTCAGTCAGGCTATCAGACAGTTGATTGAAGTTGTCACAAGGAAAGCTCCATTGGCGTCGGGCAAAATAAGTCAACAATTCAAAACCTGAATGCATTTTACCCACCAAACGAACCAATCTAAAAATTTATAAAATAAAAAATCAAAATAAGTTTCTAATAAATTTAAAAAATCCTAAGAAAAAGAAACAAACAATTCAGCTGCAATTTGATCAGATTTGTTTATGTAGATGAGCTAAGTACAGTGAATAAAGCCCGTTAGATGGCGACTAATTAACAGTTGGGAAAAATTTGAACTCGATTACTCCTTTCAAGTTTATTGCTTAAACTAATTGTTTGTTTCTAATTAACTATTGATTGACTCATTGATAATGGTTGATAAAGCATATAAAGTCATTATAATTCTGTGCAGTTATTACACCTTACCTTCTTTGTTGGCCAAGGATAAAAAGGATGCAATCGATGAGATAAGCAAAGAGAAGTTCCGAGAAATATTTGGTTATGAGATGATCAAACCGGGAAACATGATTACCCTGCATCACTTTAACTGGTGGTCTTAACATTTGGAGAGACGGTGATTCCACAGCAGCTTCCCTACCATAGCTTAAAAATTGTTCCCATGTAACTGGATTCGTTTCACCGGAGGTCAGGTTGAAGACTTTCATTTTTTCACCATTTGATTGACCAGCATGGGTGTTTGCCATGTACCAACCAATGGCGATGAGACCATTAACCACAGTGTCCGCTGGAATCAAATCAGAGATACAGTTGGGTTTAAAGTACATGGTCCTGGCAATACCCAAAGAACCAAGAAGACAAGCTCCACTTGGACCATTAACAGTATCTCCCCAGCCAGGAACTGGCTCTTTCCAAGTTGCTGTTATTATTGAAGGTCTAGCAATACCAATTGTTATCCCTTTTCCATGATTTTTCAGGTATTGTTCAGCTAGTGCTTTGGTAAATGTATATGTATTGGGACGATCTTCAAAATATTTGGAGTACATCTTCTCAAAAGTTTCATTATCCATTGTTTCGCTTGCCTCCAACATTTCATCGACGTTCACTTGCATCGGATAAATAACCTCTCCGCTTATTGGTTTCTGACAATAGGCGTAAGCTGTTGATACATGGACAAACACTTCAAGGTTTGCAATGTCCTGACAAAGCTCCAAAACCCATTTAGTGGCCTTTACATTGGTGGTCAAACAGTCTCTGTTATATTCATTTGTTTCAAATGATGATCAAAAAGAGTGAAATTAAACGAACATTAGCTTATTGCTATTTTAAGGTTTGTCTATGAAACGTTAGTTATGGAGTACATTTATCAGTCTCCTGCTTGCATACCAATCATTACCGTCCATTATTGTGAAATCTGACCATAATCAACTTATCTTATTAATTTATTGCAAAGAGATTGTACTAATAATTTTTTTCTTTTTCTTATCTAACTAGTTGGTGTTAAAGGTCGAGTGAATTCCCCTCTGAATTGACCTTTCGACCTTTTAGCGAGGCTGATCATGAGGATGTTTTTCTAAAAATGCTGCATTATATTGATTAATTTGACGATAAGCTGATTGGTTAATGGCCGAAACTTTCACAATTAAGTGTCAAGAAAAAAGTGTAAACTAAATGTGAAAACATAATTAAGGAAAGAAATGTGGAAATAAAATCTTACTTGAGAGGATCGTCAAATCGAACTGATGCTGCTGAATGGAAAACAATGGAAACTTCATCGATAATTTTCTGACGGTCAGACGATGAAAGTCCTAATCCTTCTTGTGTTAAATCACCGTCCAAGGCAATTATAGTTGATGACAATTTGATTGGATCACAGGCACTGAAAACATCATTCTGGATAAATTCCTCAAGCCGTCTTTCAACGCTCTTACCTCGCTTTGAACGAAGTAATATATAAATATGTTTTACCTCACACGATCGGACGAGTTTTTCAACCAAAACCTAATTCAAATTTGATTCCAAACAGCAGGCGATTCAAATTAAACGAATCAAATGAAAAAAAAGACAGAGATTAATCAATGGTGATAATGGTAATGAGCGAGATGTTGTGTAATGGATAAAATGGTGGACAGTCTGAAAAGTGCAAATGAAAATGGATGAAAATTTTACCTTTCCAAGAAAGCCAGTTGCTCCGGTCACAAAGACTGATTTGTTTCGATAAAATGAAGTGATTGGCGAGTCGATATGCTGAGTTTCCATGATATTTTTAATATTTGTTTAAGTAGATTTCGAACAAAAATTAGGTAAACTTAAAAAATTAGGCTCAAATGAAAACAAAAACGCAGTGTATGAGAAAAATTAGGAAATTTGATGAAACTAAAAACAAACAGTGTTAAAATGGTTAAAAGAATTGTTATAGTCAGTAAATATAAAATAGAAAAGTTTAACTGTTACTCAGGTAAACTAAGAATCGACTGGACTCTAGCCATAACCTAAAACTACCAAAACAGGTAACGAAACGATCAAGGGGAGAGGAAGACAGTGAGACAGAGAGACACAAACTAATAGAGAAAGAGAGAGAGAGAAAGTGTAAAAAGGAGAGGAAGAGATAAAGAGGAAATTATGATATGATAGAGAAAAGATAATGAGTGAGTAAAGAAGGAGTAGATGAAGAGAGATATTTTTTTAGGGTAGCAAAGGAGGATGAAAGAGAAATGGCAATGAATATGAGAGTGAGAAAGGTAAAAGATAGATGTTACATTGAGTAGGTAAGAAAGGAGGAGGTAGTTGGAAAGGTTAGGTAAAAGGGGCTTTAATGATTGGGGAAATCCCGTAATTTTGGTTAAGGACCGGGCCATGGAAAAAAACCAACTTAACCATAAGAAAATAAATTGACCTGTTGATGGCCCAGGGCTTGAGGTAACGCTACAGACTTTTATGCAAACTGTGTAAATGTATTCATAGCCAAAAAACAAGCTAAACGGATATTTTTGGATGGAAAAGTTTACTTTTGTTTTTACCTTTCTTATCCAAGGTTAATTTTCATCCATCTTTTTTTTCATTAATTTCACCTAATCTTATACAGTTCATCTTCATCTTTCCATTTTGCTCTTTTTTTTCTGCTGAAAATTGATACTCGTTTCTGCATTTCTGGACATTCTTGCAAACAGCCAACCTTGAGTGAGTTTTTTTTGCTGCTGTGACTGATTGTGGTACATTTCCGGACACTTAACTGCAATCTTGAGGTAATCAACTGTAAATTGCTATCATTTTAATTCTAGTCAATCTGTTTTTGCTTCTCAATGTTGTTTATTTCATTTTTATATCTTTTTCTAACAGTGATATCAGTTTTTTGGTAAAGACTATTGGTCAATATTATGGATTTTTCAACTGTTGGCTTTTAAAGTTTTTTATGTCCATCTCATTTTTTCTCCTGATAAGCTTTCAGTCTTCAGATAAATAATTGACAGCCATGGATCTATCGAATTATCATTTGAAAGCTCAGCCAAATAGTCGCTCATCATCATTATTGAATCAAGTCTGGTTTTTTTGTTCGCTCTTGAATTATTGATTTTATTTTGACTGAATATTGGCTTTTAATCACAATCTAGGATCGAATTGATTGCTGAAGCAATAGACTAGATTGATGATGCTATAAAAATTAACTTATTTATAACGTCAACGAATAACATGATAATGGTTACAAATTGTTACGAAAAAATTGTCTCGAGGAAGATATTCAAAAAATATTACAACAGAAACTTGGCTGTGTAAACTTGGCAATTAACTTTGATTTGATTGTACAAAATCTTGAATTAATTCCATAATTTTCTTCCTTTAAAAGCACATTCGGCTGTTGAATGATTTAGGAAATTTTATGTGAAGACTCACAGATCAAATTCACTTAATGTCTTGTTTTTTTATTGCTAACAGTAAATCCGTCAATCGATCAATGCAAGAGCGATAAGTCAATGGTTCACTTTTGTATGAAAGTGAAGAGTTTTTTATTTTTAATGTATTCTGATGATAGATTGATGCATTGATTGTTTGAGTAAAAAATCTAAAATCATTCACAACTACCCTGTCCACCATTCTAAGAAGTTTGCCTCCGTTTCCAATTTCATCTAAAGTTTTGATCCTTTGGCCACGGAGACGTCTTTTTAAATCAGAGAATAGCTAATTGTCACTGCGGAAACACAAGGAATACAGAGGGAAATAAGGAGGACAGATAATAGGAATCAATCTAAACTCCTTTTTATGGGTTTCTGTGCTGCCGCTCATGAAAGCGAGTGTTATTTGGGAGGAGGAAATATTTCGTTAACACTGCTTTTTTAAATAACTTTTTTGTCCTCAGTCTGATCTTAGCTAGACTACAAACAATCATTAGAACTCTTTCGATCTCACAAAGAATATGTACTTACAATAGCTATAGCAATATTGTTAGCTATAGCTACGATTACTAGGCACGACCAACTGTTTTATTATGTTTTGAACCTGAAAATATTACATTGTAAGAGTAATAGCAATTTTTATGTGATCTAATTGATTTATGTGGTATTTTGTGATTGTTTGCTTAATATAACCGTGTTCAACTGAATGAATAATTATTTTATGACACCTTGAAATAAGCATCAAAGTGCTGTGATAAATATGATCTAATATAAACGTCAAGACATTTTTTAGAAGATCTTCGACTTTCATCTTTATTACTTGAACTTGACTCAGTCAAGCTCACTAAAATCTCATTTTTGTGTAATAAAGTTATTCAGACAATTTGCATCAGTTAAATCAAATAATTTACTTTACTGTTGTTCAAATTGATTCTGCATGATTTGCTTTATATTTTAATGTTAACACTGATCAGAAAATTGTCGATTCTCTGTGGATTAAATTTTCATTTTTTGACAGTAATCCATTTCTTGGTCAAGGACCAATTAATAGCCAAGTTAATTCTGCTCTGAGATAATTTTGAATACTTAAAATGAAATACAAATCCTGATTCAAGCTCATCAAAAATGTGCTGTGAACTGTGAATACGCTTTCCGATTTAGATAAAAAAACAAATTTAAACTTTCACCTTGGAACGAGATTTTACACCAAATATTTTATTTCATTTCCATATATTTTTGAAATATCTGTAGATTTAGTTGGGTTTTTGCATATGGAAATTGATTGTTTAATCACAATTCACGATTTCAATTGTCAACTTTTTCAAACTTTTCGCTGTGTTTCTTTTCAGTATCAAAAGATGACTCTGCATGTTGCATACGTAAAAAATGTTATGCTTTATAACAGTACGTCGTAATAAAAACATTAAAGTTATTTTAACGTAAAATTTTGAAATTTTGTCGTTCAATTTCTGGAGTTTTCAAAAATCTATTATCGTTAGAAAATCAAAGTTTATTTCAAATTCGAAAAATAAAAGGCCAGGAAGTAAACCTTGAATGTAAAACACCTTTTAATTGATGAAATTATTCACTCTTGCTGCTGCTTACTCGCCTTCATTGCTCTTTGGCTAAAATGTGATTTAATGGTTCTGTTGTTTGAAAAATAGTCATCGATTATGGTAGCCACCAAATCCAATAACCCTCATGGTGTATGGGTGCTGATAATGGATCACCAGGACGGTTTACAGGATACATGGCAGTTTTTCGTATCTCATCCAATCTTGTCAACATTGAATTTACAATAGTTTGGTGAGTTGGTGCAATGTTATTAAACTCACATGGATCGAGTTTAATATTGAATAAACATGGCTCTTTTACAGGATCACAATGAGTTTTGTTTTGATTGAAGCAGTCAATCTTAATTAAAACATTTTCTCGATCAATTGATTTTTTATCCAATTCGTACAAAGATTGGTTCAAGGTAAACCATGACGAAGATGCTTTCAATGGCGGAGTTGAATTTTTCAACAGATGTTCATCAATAGTGATATTTCTTGACACCCAATCATCAAACTGTCCATCAAGAACAGTTCCAGTGACGAGTTTATAATCGTCTATTCGAATCGCTGAAACGTTCCAGATATCGTCAATATTGTGAATAAGTTCATTTCGCATTATAATTTTACTTCGCTTCCGATTACCTTCCAAAGCATATCTCAAATTAATTCCATCAATATTTGCTGGTAGACTCGATTCGTTACCTCCAGCAAATGAGAATAAAGTGGGTGTCCAGTCAGTTATATGACTTAGGCCGTTGTATACTGTCCCCTTCGATTTCAACCAATTAGCCCAGATCCATGACAGACCTTTTATGCCTCCTTCCCATAAAGTATATTTGGCACCTCTTAAAGGCTGATTAGAACCGACACCTAAATTGCAATTTTTACCAGTAAGAGTACCAGTTGGAGCTCCATTGTCCGAGGTAAAAACTATTAGAGTTGAATTGGCCTGTCCAGTCTTATGTAAATGATTGAAAATTGTGCCGATTGAATCATCAAGTGAGGCTAACAAAGCAACATATGATCGCATAGTCAAGTCTTTTATAAACTTGAAACGGTTTAAATAATCGATTGGGACCTGATACAATTTCGGCGAGTTAGCAATATGGACAGCTTGATAAGAAATTGCTATAAACCAAGGATTGTTTTTTGATCGAGATTGGATCAATTTGATTGCTTGGCTTGTCAATATGTCAGTTGTGTGGTTAAATGCGTATTTAGAAGCAGATGGAGTTTCATTTTCATACCAATCAAGGCCCCATTGTGATCCATACCTAGTGATTCGATCATAATAGTCTGTTGCTCCACTCAAATAACCATTGAATGTATCAAACCCTCGTTTGGTGGGAATATGTCGTTTTGAATAGAAACCTTGATGCCATTTGCCAATTAAATGAGTTGAATAGTTCAATGATTTTAGATATTGTGGTAATATTTTGAACTGCTGTGGCAAACCCCAGGGCTCATCAGAGGCAATCACATCATGCTGCATTCCTGTATGAATTGGATGAAAGCCTGTTAATAAAGCCGATCTAGATGGTGAACAAATTGGTGAAACATAGTAATTTGAAAGAGTTACTCCTTCCTTAGCAAGGGTATCGATATTTGGTGTTGAAATTAGTTTATTGCCCGTAAAACCAACATCATTCCATCCCAAATCATCAACAATGATTAACAATACATTTGGCCGTTTGATTTCTGCGCTTGATTCAAGCAAGCAGATGATAAACATCACCAAACATGATGTTTTAAATTTTGAGCACAACATGTTTTGATTAACAATGAATATCTTTTTACATAGGAAAAAATATTCCTCAAATGCTCAAACGTGATTATCACATGAACTAAATGTTAATTTCCAACAATTGCTTCGCACTTTAGATTTAAATAAGTATTCACAAAATATTTATTTACTTCAACCAAATTATTGTGTTGAATAGTGTTGCCAAGTTACTTTTATCAATTTATCAATTGATTATCAATCTTCTAAAAATTCCACCAATTACATTTTCCTAATGTTATATCTTGGGTAGTTAATATGACTAACAGCAAAGAGTACTCTTTCTAAAGTATTGATAAAATTACAATCATTCTCGTTTGTTTAGAACCAACTTTCATATGAACAAAACCAGAATTCAAAAGAGTGAAACCGGCTGACTGTAAAGTCACAGAGTTTTCATAACAACAAAACCGCGTTCAAATGACCAAAACTCATTTTCATAAGACAAAAACACTCGAGTTAAATAAGCATCTTTATTCAGGGTGTAGACTGTTTCGTTAATTGTTAATTGCTTCTTTTCTGAGGCATCTTGGAATATAAGTTAAGTATTTTGATAAATTTTGACTTATTAATTGTGATTTAACATCTTCAATGGAAGTTCATTGGAAAAATCAGTGATAATCCTCTTTTTACACTCTGAATAAAGTAACTCTTTAACTCGAGAGTTGTTGTCTTAGCTGCTTGTAATTTTGCCACTGAAAGACTTTGTCCAATTTTCCAAGTCTCGAACGTTAGTGGACTTAATCTCGATCTTCTCAAAATGTTCATGAATCTTTTAATGCCAAGAAGTCCAAATTATGACAATGAACCTGCTGAATTTCAAATCGATGACACATACTCTGTTCCTGTAAGTTTATCAACAGAATCCTCTTGCTAAAGTATTGATAAAATTATTCATTTTTCTCATTTCAGGGAGTCGGTACTGTAGTCTCTGGGCTTTGTATAAAAGGAGTGATTCGTGTCAATGACGTTCTTTATCTTGGCCCTGATTCCCTTGGTAAATTTACTCCTATCGCTATTAAGTCTATTCATCGTAAAAGAATGCCGGTTAAAGAAGTCAGAAGTGGACAAACAGCAAGCTTTGCACTCAAAAAGGTACAAACTAAATTTGACTTATTTCTTTAACATTAAAAAACGTCTATTTAAATCCTCATTTCTAGATGAAACGTTCAGATACTCGTAAAGGAATGTTTCTCTTAGCACCTAGTCTAAATCCTCAAGCCTACTGGGAATTCGAAGGAGAGATTCTGGTTCTGCGCCATCCAACCACAATAAGCCCTCGTTTCCAAGCCATGGGTAAGCATTTAGCTTCTATTACCTAAAATTATCTTTATTTTCAAGTTATTATTTTAAATTAACTCATTTTTTTCGCCCGAAAATCAAGTTCACTGTGGCAGTATTCGTCAAACAGCGACAATCATTCGAATGACTAGAAAATGTTTAAGGACTGGAGATAAAGCTGGTGTATTATTTCGTTTCATCAAAAACCCTGAATATTTGAGGGAAGGACAAAAGATGGTCTTCCGTGAAGGTAGAACAAAAGCGATTGGAAACATTGTGAGGCTGATATCAGATGCAGCGCCGAATAATGTCAATAAAACTAAAGCTAAAAAAATGGTTCGACAAATGAAAACTAGTCCAGAAGATGGTCCTAGTGATGATAAAAGTGGTAAAAAGAAAGGAAGACACAGGAATTTTTATCCAGAAAATGAATCAACGGGGTCCAACAATGTTCAATAGTTTTATTATTTAAATTCATCCAACTTGATGATGATAAATAATAATGATTTAGCAATCTATCAGCTTCAAAAAAACAAGAAGAAATATGAAAAAATAGAACTGAAGCCTATTTTTCAGCTATTTATCAAAATGGTTATTTTTTCTATAAAAAAGTCTATGAATTAAGTGAGATGAGGATTTACTCATTCAAATGAACGTTTGCAGCTATTTATCTAACGAAAGAACAAATAAAACAATAAGAACGAAAATGCCTAAAAATAAATCTACACAGTATTCACAAGCTCGGTGGACAAAGAGCTTTTTGCATTGTTAAGTGTGAGTTGGGTCGAGTAAGAATTAAGGAATCTTTTTGTTTAAATTTACAATATTTAACGAGCATTTAGCGCAAATCCGCGCTAAATCTGACAATTTCTCCCTACACTCATTGAATGGCGTCAATGTATCACTCGAGCATTAATCATTAACTGAAAAACCTTTCATTTCAATTTTACCAATTTTTACCTTTTTTCGGATTTTACCTGATATCGCATCCAAAAATACCGATACCTGGATATCTGATATCAGTTTCGTTTCTGTTCAAGTTTTAAGAGATGTAACAGGTAGACATTCAGGTTGAGGTAGCTATCACATCTTGCTCTTCCCTTTATCCTCTTAACCATCATCAACTTAACTATTATTTCTGTTTCAATTGGTTTGTCAAATTTGTCACTTGATTGTTTTTCGTAACTATTTATTATCCATCTGTAATCATATTTTGTTTCATTAACAAGTTGCCTCTGTGATTGAAAGGCTTTGAAAGTCCATAAAATGAAATGGACAACGCTAACTTCTTTGGTACTTCTAATTCCGCTTCTATTACTTTTGGTTGTTCTAAAAGGTAAGCTTATTGAATTAATTGTTTATCTAATTGTGGCAGATTTCATCTTTATCTACTCTTTTATGATCAAAACTTTTAAAGTTTACTTTTTTCCCAACTTTTGCCTCCACTTTTGTTATTTGTTTCAATTTTAATATGTCTTTGTCCAGCTGGCTTTGAATCTTACCTTGTTTGTTTAACTTTTCTTTCTCTACTTTTCTTCCTCTCTTTCTTGTTTAAGACTCTTCTATTTTTACTTTTAAAAATTTTTCTAACTCTATTTTGCATTTTGTATTTCTCATACCAGAAACCACATTCAATCAGACAACGGATAATGACGATGTTGGTGTGTATTTAGCTAGTAAGAGAACCATCGATGACCTAGCTAATTTGATTGATCCTTCTCAATCTTGTAAATGTGACTGTGATAAAGAAACGGCTTCTATCGTAGAAGCAGCAGCGGCTGCTGCCGCAGCAGACTCTTCAACCTTTTCTCGTACTACTATTTTAACTACTCTTCCTCCGGGAGAAGATGTTCCTGCAGAAACCGAGGCTATAACATCTAGTTCAACCAACGACCAAGCCAAACCTCCTACCATATTTGTGATAACTCCAACTTATACTAGGCCAACTCAGATGGCTGATATGACCCGTCTTGCTCAAACTCTGATGCTTGTTAAAAATATCTTCTGGATAGTGACAGAAGACTCTCACTTACTTAACCAACAAGTTGCTGATCTGCTTAATAGAACCAACATTCCACATATTCAACTTCTCGGGCCTCGACCTAAAACTCACTTGGACAAACGAAGTGGTCGTGGTGTCTCAAACAGACTTGTTGCTCTGCAGTGGCTTCGCACAACTTTTGCCAATGAATCTAATGCTCAAGGAGTGATCTATTTTGCTGATGATGACAACGCATACGATATCAAAGTTTTTGAGGAGATGAGGGATACAAAGAAAGTATCAGTATGGCCTGTTGGATTAATTGCCAAAATTGGATTGTCAACTCCAATATTGAACCTCACAACAGGCAAGGTTGTAGGATTTCACGACCCTTTCATGGGACGTAGAAAGTTTGCTGTTGATATGGCCGGATTTGCTGTTAATTTAAATCTATTTTTATCTAAACCGAAAGCAATTATGCCTTATAAAGTTGGCTACGAAGAAGATTATTTTATTAGAAGTCTAGGTGTTACAATTGATGATTTAGAACCAAAAGCAAATAACTGCACACAGGTAATTATAATTTGCCCTCATAAAAACATTCCAATTGCATGTTTCTATCATTTACTCCAATTCATGACAATAATATTTCAGTTATGTTAGTCAATCATATTCTCAAAAAAAATAATCATTAATATAATACCGTTGCTCATAATGATAATGGTCGTAACAATCATTACATCGGTCAAACCCAATAGCTGAGGCAATGTTATTTCCCTGTTGACCAGTTTATTGAAATACAGATGCGTAGTTTTCAAGGAAATATACAAATTACAAGTCCTGCCAGCCAAGGGAAAAACTGAGTTGTCTGACCAGTTCATCAAACCTTATGATGAATCCTTCTTCCTTTACCTCCGGCATTATCCTTACATTTTCTGTTGTTTTTAAATAAGGTGATACTCCGTTGAACTCCATGAACTGGCTAATTCTTTTAAGGTTCCTTTCCTGATTCTAATTGACTTTTTTTTAAAAACTAAGAAAATAAATATTTCATCATCTTCACCATCATCATCAAACTTAACCTTACTTTTGTTCGTTACCTTGTTAAATTTTTATGTATACAATTATCCTCAACATCGAGCTGTATTGATCATTTTCTTGATTTAGCAGATTCTCTTAAATCCAATCCTTCTTCTCTCTCTCTCTCTCACTTTCTCTACACACTCTATCACCTCTTTATTCAATTTGAATTTGAATAGTTTTTCAACAATCGCTCGACAAAATAACTATTCAAATTCAAGGATATCCACTTGACCATGTGACTATGAATAATGCATTTTGTTGTTTAATCAAAAAAGTGACCAAAACTTTAACTCATCATTTTTTACTTTCTTTCTGCTTTCAGATTTTGGTATGGCATTCGAAGACTCAACCTGGAAAAGATCCCGAGTTTGTTAATCTGAAAAAGGAGATTTCCAACTCAACCAATCTAGTTCAATTGTATACCAATGTCCTTCGACAATGACAATTTGCGCAGGGAAATACATTTTTTTATATGTATTGGTGCCAATTATTTATTTTAAGTGTCCTTGAACAAATAAACCTCGTAAAAATATGAAAAAATATATTGAACTATTGAAAGTTTATTTAATTTGAATTGACCATGAAACATGGACTCATTTCATTCTCATTACATTTCAATCAAATATTTACTGAAATCTTCTCTTCTCACTCCAGTTATTATATCATGGATAAAGCTAGAAGTTGGTCGATAACAATTGAAAATTGGTTTCTCTTTGATTCAGATCAAACCCAATCCGACAGAAATTTATTCGCCGTAATTGTAGATGTCAAACAAGACAAACAACAAAATGGCTGCTAAATTATTTACTAAAACAATAATTTATACTAACTTCCATCCTCTTTCTCCTCTCCCTATTTATCTTTCCTGTCTTCTTCTTGTTTCTCTTCTTTATTATCTTTCCCATTATTTGTTATTCATATCCTTGATCTAATATTTAAAAGCGAGACACAATTGCTGATTCGAAGCCCACTGTTTCGTGAAATAGCTCAGCGTGTCTCAACCATTTCAACTTATCCTTTCTCTTTCTCCTTTCTTCTGATACTCTATCGTTTTTTCCCTTTTTATTATTTCATTTTCAAAACTGTTCATCAGACACTTTTTTTGTTTGATGAATTAGTTGTGAAAATCCTATTATTCTAAGCGTTTGTGGAAAATTTAAAAACCGTTAAATTTGGACCGCAAATTATTTTATGATGGATTATAACCATTATCAGATTTGATCTATTTTACTTTTGTTTCATTATTAATTAGATCAATTTTTGATTGTGACATTTCCCTTGTTTCAGGATATTCCCTTGATTTTGCTCATCAAAAATCCTGTCAAACCAGTCCAACCTTTTATTTTCAACTTGCTGCAACTGTTTAATCTACAGCAAAAGGATAAGATTAACATGATTTAATAGCTTTGATGATTTCACTTTCTCGCTTCATTGTGGCCCCTCAATTGTCGATGTTTAAAACAAAAATCAAAATCAATTGATATGGAATGGAATGATATGAGAAAACAAATTTTACCATCAAAGCTGAGTGAACTCTCATGGACAAATGATATCATTTTTCAGGATTTAAATACATATTTTATGAAACCTTGATCATTTGTTGGAAAACGAACGAATCAAATTGCAAGAGTTTTCAGAGTTGATCGGCGGATTAAGCTTTATTTCATTTTTATTTTCAGAATTACTGTGTTGGTAAATTAACTTTGGTTGATTCAGCGAGTAATTCAAATACTATTGCTACTGTTATTAAATTTAGTGACTTTAAAGATTGAATTTTTGGGGAATAATAGCTCATATGACTGAATAAGATTGCTAGCTTCTCGAGTTATTTAAGAAAAGTCAGGCATCTGAAAGTTCATTCGATAAAAACGTTAAAATAATTCGAGCTTAATAAAAAATCAAAAAAACCGCCAAAAGAGTAACAGATAATCGGATCAATATTGGTATCTATTGAATCACGTCAAAAGCTAAGCTCAGCTTACCGCTTGATTTTGGAACAGGTTATATGTACACAAATCTGTGTATCTTTAACTATGAAGTTAACCGTACACATAATGATGTTAAAGGCAAGGATTCAAATAATAGTTTAATAATTGATTAAAAGTTAATTTTTTGATCAATTTTTAATAAATCCCACTCAAAGAATACATAATTTAAAGCCAGAGTGCTGCGTCTTTTGTGGTTAACGTATTGATTTCATTTAACAATGCCTGCTTGAACAATTGACTTAATAAACTTAGCTCATTTTTGAAAATTAATCTCTAGCTTAGTGGTTAGAGTGTGAGAAGAACAAAGGTTATGATCAGGGTTCGATTCTAGTTTTGACAAATTTTTTGTTTCTTTCTTGTTTAGAAACTTAGACGAGTGCAATTTTTTTACCGCAACATTTGAAACAGATATCTGTTAGACTGATTTGAGATCAGTTCAATCCATTATTAAATTATTATTTAAATCCTTTTTTCAATTCATCATCATCATTAAAATGCTCAAAAATTCTTAAGCTAACTTAAGATTAAGGCTTTTCTATTCATTAAACGAAAAATTTACAATTGTTAGTTATTGGTGGTATCAGATACAGATATCGGATAGTATCTTTGTGTACATATAACCTCAACCCTTGATTTTTACCTTTGTTTATATTATTTCAAATTTGATTGCTTGTGTTTATCTGTTCCTTTTGTCAACTTGTGTATTGACCATTATGATGAGCGATATTCTTGATAACCATGAACCAGCCCCTAAACAATTAAGGCTGTCACCTAAATCCGCTGGTGGAGAAACTAAAGGCGTTTATAAAACTGAAGAGCAATGTAATGCCTTAGATTTAACTTCTTCACAGTTATCAGGCTCAACCATTCACTCCAAAGGCGATATTAACTTATCCATGATTAAGTTTGTTCGTGTTTTGAACGAGGTTGCTGATTCAAAATTAATTCACGTGGAAGGTGAATATTGTGGAGACAAAGTAGTATTGACTCTGGAGAAAACCCCATTTACCAAAGAAAATGTGGAAAAAATAATGGCGGCTGCTGACAAATCACTTCAAAAAGATTTCAACAATGACATTTACGGGTTTTACAAGGCATACCCTAATCCCGAATTGAATGGTATCAAGGCAACTATTATCCATCCTGCTACCGAGCTTCACATAAAAAAGTATTCCGCACAAAGTTTCTGTATGATTCAAGAATCTCCGGAAGATTATAAGAACATAACACTACCTCATGTTGAATCTCAATCTTTCTCATTGGACTGGGTCTACAATATACTGGATCACTCAAATGAAACCGAGAGAATCATATTTGAGGATAATGATGAAGATAAAGGATTTATTTTGGTCCCTGATATGAAATGGGATGGAGAAGGTTTAAGTAACCTGCATGCATTGGCGATTGTTCACAAAAAAGATATCAAATCTTTGAGAGATCTTACATCTAATCATTTAACTTTGCTGCACAATATTCGTGAGAAGGGCAGTTTGGCTATCCACCAAAGATATGGAATAAAAGAAAATCAATTGCGTATTTATGTCCATTATCAACCGTCTTTTTACCATTTTCATGTTCATTTCGAACCTCTTGCTTATCGAAGCTCGTCTGTTGAAAGATGCCATTTACTTGACCATATCATTGATAATATTACACTAATGGGTGATTATTATCAAAAATCAACTATTACTTTTCCAGTTAAAGAAGACAGTGATTTATATTTAAGATATCAAGAATCCAGGTCCATGGAAGGCCAATAAGTTCCGAAAATCATTTCATTTCTGTCACCATTAAAAAATTTTCAAAATCTAAGTGTTCATATTATTCTAGTTTATTGATTAGGTTATCCTTTTGTATCTCAATTTATTTACTTCGAATAATATATCGATTAATCTCTGTATTACAACTTTATTCATTCTTTAATGCATTTACAGTTAAGCTGATAAAATCGTGATTGAAATTTGTCTAAAAGTCAAACCATTTGAAAGAAGATAACAAATATGGAACAGAAATAATAAATTATGGACCATGAAAGAAATTTTCCCAGGATATTGAAGTACAAGATTATTGATTATTCTGTTTGATTGCTCTACCTCTTGAAAGTTTACAAATGATCAATTCAATTGAAGACTAACCAATTAAACAAAAATACATTGAAATTAATCATGAGCTATATGAGTGACAATCAAATGACCTACAGACAAAAAGATATCAAAATAAATTTTAAACAGAAGTTCTTTATCTTGTTTGGCACAGAAAACCGGAATAAATACTTAATGAGAAATTTTCTCTTGAACTTGCAAAGATGATCTTGTAATAATTTAAATCTACAACTTCCCATATTTTCTTCCTTAATTTGCCATGACTTTTAATTCAACCTAGACCTAAATAACGAGAGAGTAAATTCTTGGCTCAATCTTTGAGTTGTACAATCAAAATCAATTTCAAGGGCACAACGTGAAAAAAACTCACAGACGTAAATTAATTACTCATAATCAAGAGTATTGCCGTTATAATGACGATAACTATTGCTGTCTATTTTATTGATCATCTTGCAGTCATTCTAAGTCTTATTAATCAGCCATTCACTCACTATACTACAAAGATAATAAATCATATCAAGTATCGATTATCATTTTGAAAATATACTGTAATAATTGAAATATTGGTAAATATTAAAGGGAAATTTAGTTAAAGCAGATTGAATTGTTAGCCCGATAAACTGAAGAGGATAGTTGAATGACATCAATGTTCATTAAATCTGACAAATCTTGTGAATCTAAATGAGTTTGCTTCGAGTAATTTTATATTTTATTCAAAAGATAGTGAAAATCGGGATAATCAGATCATAGTAGACTATGTTATTAATTATATCGACCTTTAAGCGCTTAAAAGGTAGCAGTACCATGATTTTAATTGAAATAACCGGTTATTCCAACACGACACAAACAGATGTAAACACAGAAGTAAACAAAACCAGATGACAGTGAGATTTTGCAAGATGCAAGCTTATTCAGTCAGTTGTGTTCCAACAAGTGTAAAAATCATGTCTTATAATCTAATTTATCTGCTGACTCTGAATACTAGTTAAAGATTTGAGTTGTGATAATATTTTTATTAGCTTTTTATTCATTCTCTTATATTGTTTGATGAAGCAATCATCTTTGATAGCATTTTTTTTCTTATTCTTCTCGTTCTTCCTCTCTCCATTCTTCTGTTGCAATCACCATTCCCTTAATAGATGATGATGGAAAATGATTGTGATGTTATTATTATCGGTGCTGGTATTGCCGGTGTCTCATGTGCCTATCACTTGATTGTAGACCTCAATTACAAAGGAAAAGTGGTCCTGTTAGAGGCTCGTGATCGGATTGGAGGTAGGATTGTTGGTGATACGATTGGTGGGGTAAACATTGAGCTTGGAGCCAACTGGATTCATGGTATAATAAATAATCCCATGTATAACCTTGCTGCCAAGCACAACCTGATCGATCCGTTGGATATCAATAATGTTAGTAACAAAGATGAGTACAGTCGGATGGGTGCATTAACATCCAATGGCGACCCAATTCCGTATAAGGTAATTGTCTCTGTTTACAAGGTGTACTTCTCCATGTTGAAGCAATGTGAAAACTTTTATGTGGCAATTAAGAAGGGAAATGTTTTTGAGGATCAATCAAATGATTCAGTTGGTCTCTGGATGAAAGACAGGATTGAAAAATATCTTTCTACTGTAAATGAAAATGAGCGCACTTTAACAGCATCAATTTTCAACAATTTCCTTGCTCGAGAGACATGCATTTCTGGCTGCCATTCAATGGATCAAGTGTCGCTACCCTATTTTGGTGCCTATGAGGAATTGCCTGGAGGAAATGTAATTGTACCTGATGGTTATGTTCAAATAATAAATTGTTTGCTGGAAGATATTCGTTTAAAATTGCAACAGAAATCGAGAAATGAAAATTTTCAATTGATAGTAAATCAACCTGTAACAAAGATTCGTTGGCCAGGCATTGGTTCAACATCTGACGAGTTTGCCAAAGTAATCACCAGCTCAGATACAGTTTATCGGTGTCGCCATGTTGTTACAACCATTCCCTTAGGTGTTCTGAAAGCCTGTCACAATCAATTGTTTGACCCACCGTTGCCCCAGTACAAAATTGATTGCATTGAACGAATGGGATTTGGAACTGTAGATAAAATTTTCCTTGAATTCAATGAATCATTATGCCCTAAATTTATCGACAGTGCATTAACTGAAATTATTATCTGCTGGTTACCACAGGATCTAGAAAACATGAGTTGGGCTAGTAAAATGTACTCGATATCTAAAATTGGTGATCGCTGTTTAATGGTTTGGTTATCTGGAGAGGAAGCACAAACCATTGAAAAAATGGACTTTTCAAAATTAAAAAGTGACCTTATCAATGCTGTAAAGAAAATTTTAAAGGCGCCAGACTTGCCTGATCCTGTAAACATAATTCCAACTCGCTGGCATCAGGATCCCTTTTCACGAGGTTCATATTCCTTTATTTCAGCTCAATCGTGTGTAGGTGACATTGAAAAATTAGCACAACCGATTTACTCAAATCCAGCTCAGGAAAAGCCTAATTTGTTATTTGCAGGGGAAGCCTGTCATACATCTTACTTTTCAACAACACATGGAGCATTTTTAACTGGACGAAAAGCTGCCCTTTATCTGGTTGATTCAGACGAGAATTCGATCAAAGAAGTTGATCCTTCGAAAAAGCTATGCAATTTATAATTAACTAGATGTTGAGTTTTTCTCAAAAAAAATCGAGACGCATTCCAATTGTTGTTTTAAATGAATAATACATTTGCTCTTTCATCACGCACATCATTACTTGTATTATGACCTGGTATTATTGTTGATGGAATGATTTACCGCTGCAAAACCTAGACTGACCACAGATACTGTTTAATGTTTTTTTACCTTAGTATTTGTAGTAATTTAATTGATTAAATTTGATCTATGAAGAATCTTGAAATTTATTTCGATGAATTATCACTATGGTAACAAGAAAAATGACCAATCTACTGAAATCGGACAAACACTTATTTTGATTGGATTACATTTTCTTGTGTCATTATTTTATTTTAATCTGTTCTATTATTCTGCCATGATTCGACCGTCATGTAAATGTCCTCAGTAGACAGGCTTAATTCCTGGTAAGAGTTATCATTGACAGCATAGCAAGAAATCAGCTGTCAAGTTTACTGATTAAATTGATTTCCTTAACCTGTATTGCAACAAAGCCTATTACGTTTTTGTCTATATTATTTTACTTTAATCGGTAACACTTTCGATAAATAATTATGTCTCAAAATACTATTCGTTACTTTTGTTATGGATCTAACCTATTATCTGATAGAATTCATGTTCGATTGAAAAGTGCTACAGTAATTTCAAATGGAACCCTTGATGATTATAAGTTAACTTTTTCTGGTTATTCAAAGTTATGGAAAGGAGCAACAGCCAATATCATTCCTCATCAAGGGGTAAGTAATCTCGATCCTTCAACGGGTCCATCACTATAACTTAATAATAATTTAACCATCAAACAGTCAAACCAAAGGCTTAACCACTCAATTTCACTCCTTTCATGTGTTTTTAAATGAAAGTATTTCTAATCTTCTTAAAACTAATTTATGTTTTTATTTACTATTCTCAGAGTAAAGTGATTGGAGTCATTTGGTCAATAACTTATAAAGATTTAGAGCAGTTAAATCTCCAAGAAGATGGATATAGACTGATTGCTGTCAATATTAACGTTGACCAGGGCGAGGTGATTGAATGTATTACCTATGTCCAGACCAACGAGGAGATTCAACGAGGCAAGGATATTTTGGGCTCACAAGATGGTATCCCTAGTACAGTGTATAAAGGGGTGATAATCAAAGGAGCCGTTGAACACAAACTACCTGAGTCGTACATAGAAATGATCAAAACATTTAAAGCCATCGAAAATGTTGACTGTGAGCTTGCACATCTTGTATAATGTTATCTTTTTCAAGTTGCTTGCCAACAGTTATTTACTAAAGTCAATTCATCTGAAAATGAGCTATCTTTTACTAATCCAGATATTCTAGAATCCAAAGGATTTATCTAGAAGTTTTTTCAAATTGAGAATAAAATTAAATAACATTGTAATTCCTTATTAATGTCAATGATAGATGAGCAAACCTTTCAAACCATATTAAACCTTTCCATATTTGTTGTCAACAAAAGTAAACGTTTTCCTTGGTAATATTTTAAAAATAGAAATTAAGAAATCTTAATTGTTTGGGTAAAATATACAACTCAATGCTACTTCAACATGATTTATAATCAAAAGCTGTGTCTACTTCAGAGCTATTATTATTTTATTCAACTCACTTGAGATTTAAGCATCAAACAAACTCTTAACTACAGGAAAAAGCAATCTGATATGAATTTCATCGTTAATCCAAGCCTGGCTCTAGACAAGGTTATACTCAAAGATTAGCCCTTTTTTCACCTCAACTACTAAATCCTTTTTTACAACAGAGCAAATTGAAACTTCAATAGTAAAAGTTCAATACTAAATTATTTTAAAAGCAATAATCTTTATCATCGTCAGACAGAGGATCACAATTATCGTCAATAATCAACTGTGAATATTCAAAATCCAACAGTCAGTTACAGACTACATTTTATTACGCCTATTAAAAGAGTGATGGCTCAACGTTTTAAATATAACTTGTTACTTACCTGGATTGACGTTTGATTTGAGCACATTGAACATGGGATGATAAGAAGAATTAGATTAACTCTCAAATAATCTTACAGAATTAAATGAATTTAGTGTAAAACAAGATGGTTATATGTTTATAACAACAAATTAAATAATTATGTAAATTAACAATTCATTTATAACTTTCTCTTCCAATCTCATCTTTAACCAGTTTAGCTGCTTTTACACTCAATTTAATGCCCTTTAATTGGTTTCATCGGATGATTTGGATAGTTAATCTCTTAAATTGATTAACCTTTATCCCGAAATCAAATTAATCAGAATCCGCACAACTGTGATAACATGCTGATTTATTTTCATGGTTAAGATATTTTTGCACAATTTTCACATTGGAATCATCATCAATTGTCCCTCTGAATGAAAAGATAAATGAACACAATAAATTAATCAACTTTATCTGAAGAAGCAAATAATCAAAAGGTTGAGAAGTAAACATTTATGTACATACAAACACACACTGACACAGATATATTCAGCTTAATCTTGATGAAATAATTGAGATGAAACAGATGAAAGAGCATGATTAAAGGTAGAGAAATCTAATCAGTTGCTCTCAACCCTTCTTTTTTCTCGATGGTTTGAATTGTTTTTTTTTTGGTGGGTTTTTATAAATGATTTTATAAATTGATAATCTTGATAAGTTGACAAGAAATCTGATTTAAGCAATTAAAAAGCGAAATCGTTAGCTTTATATGTTCATTTCCCAACAACAAACTTGAAGCTCATGTTTTTTTTCGCCTTTTAAAAATTTTCCCTCTTTATTTGCAATTTAATCTTTGAAGTTCATTCGGTTTTATCTTTCATAGCTTTTGAATCCAAAGGCACATTAATCAAGACTATATTCCAGTTCCAAAGATTCATAACTCTTCATATTAAGGTAACATTGAAATAAACACGATAATCAATGGCGTTTCGGTGATGATGACCAGGTTATATCAACGAGATAAACTTGACTTGTAAAAAAAGGGGTAAAGTTGTCACCAGTTTTTGTATGAATTATTCCATGGGAATATATATTTTAGATTATTGGGAGATTACTTTGATTTTTCAATCACAATAATCTTTGATAGCCTCTGTTGATAACCGTCAATGTCAGGATAAATCAGGTGAACAAGTTGAACTTGAAAGAAGAAACTTGTTCCTAATTATCGAAATGTAAAAATTGATTTTAGGCCAAAAAGAAAGGTTAAGTTGATGATTATATTGTTCAACGAAACCATCCAAAGCATGTATTATGAATGAAGATCCATGAATATGTAGGAGCAAGTGTTTTTTGTACAGAGGAATGGATGATGGAAAGTATTTTGGCTGAATCACAAGATTTCAAGTTGAAATAATTTTTAATCAACCAACTACTCTTGTCAAGCAAGTTTACTTTTTTTCCTAATCAGCAACAATCTTCCATAGCCTCTTCCATTTGCTCTCTTGGTATCATCAACATCAGATTTGGTAGCCTTTTCCATAGCTTTTAACCCAGTCTACCTTCGCTTTTTATCGTCGTATATTCAATGTAGTTTATCGGGTTGTACTTTTAACATTCAAAAAAGATTCAACAAATCTTTCAGCTTCTGATGGTTTTAAAATTATCAGCTCATCATCTCCTCGTAACCTCCTTCTTTCCAGCTTCGACTCTTGATGAGAGCATTCAACTCACTCACAAGTTTAGCCTTTTTTATCTGCGATAATGACATTTTATTTCTTTCACTTCATCTGCTTCTTTCTCCTTCCAATAGTAAAGATTAATATAGACAGATAACGCCTGGATGTAGTGATAGTTGTTTAGCTTTTTGCATAACGTTCTTGAGTGGTGAAACCAGGGGAAAAAAGGAGAGAAGAAGAGTAAATCCATGGATAAAGTAGAAGGTATTTTCGATTACTAGATATTCTTTGAATTTTAAAAGGAGTACTTCAACATTGGCATACTGATTATCACCATGACCTGTATTCCTGTAACCATTCCGAAACCATTTAAATCCTTGGCTATCATCACCATTAAACTTAATCATGGTCCCCGAGTGAATGAAGCAACAGTAGTTGATATCATTGAGAAAAATTCAACGCAAATAACATAAAAGATATGATAATGATAGCTGACGCCATTCTGTCAGTCCATGGTTTGGGTTTTGTTTTGCCATTGAAAATAAGTAACCTGAGAGAGAAAGAAGACAAGAAAAGAGGAAAAATTATGGTAAATGCATGATCTTTTTTTTACTGGTTTCATATCAAGCAGCATTGATGATGGGTAACAATCAGTCTGTGCAATCTGAAAATAATCAATGATGACAAAAGATTGATTTGAACATTTGATTATTTTTATATTAGAGTGAAAGAATCGTAAACTTTTATTTACTTGGGAATTAAATAGAAGAGAACAGCTATTCAACATGTGATCATGAAAACAATTCACAAACTAACCAATCAACTAAGGACATGGGCAAGGAGACTAATTTACTCATGTGAAATGAATGAACACAAGGGATGTATTAGTTATTCAGATTGGCGATCACATGGCTTTCAAACTGGAAATAAATTAAAATGAAAAGACGGTGAAAATGAAGGAATGAAGGTAAAAGAGAAGAAAAAAGAGAATCTTATAAATCACTTTTTCTTACCTGTAAACTTGGGCAGTTTCACTATTTTTTAGAAGCCAAGAGAGAGAGCGAGAAAAAAAACAACATCAAACTTGTCAGGTTATTGCTGGTATGGATAAAGCTCAATGCTCGTTAATACTTCAAGTATTTTTAGATGACCAAAATTAATGGTCTCATCATCGGCATCTATGAAAATAAGAAAATAAAAAGCCTATTAACCAAGTCATAGAGACAAGCTAAATAACTTACAATTATGAACAACCTTAAAAGGTAAAAGTACAGATTCTGGACTAGCTGTGTGGGGTAATCTAATGAAATTTGGAGCGCCAGTTATTGCAATCACGAAAGGAACCATTCGTCAATGTTATCACTATCTGTCCATTTCTTGTGATAAATCCCATCTTACAAGTGTCCATATAAAGATTGCAAGGTAAAAACAGTCTAAATCTGATAAAGCTGATGGTGATGCACAATTTTTCAACTTCAGACAACAGGTAAACAGTTAATTATAAGTCCACTTTCTAATTTGTAATCATCTTTAACCAGAAACCAGTGAGACTAGTAAGAACGGGAATCAAACGGGAGATTATGGTTGGCTTTAGATTGGTAAATTGGATTTGAAAAACTTGAAAAACGGTGACCATTAGCTAATTTAATTCTCATCAATTAAAATGAGCCTTCAAGCTGTATGCCGTTTAACTCATGGCAGTCCTCGTGTTATTAATGTCTGAGGGGTTTGGCTGGAAAATCCGGACTAATCAATAACAGCTAATATCCTATTAACTGTGAATAAAAATCAAACAAAAACAGATACAAAATAGAAACAAAGTTAAAATTTAACTTGAAAATTGTAAAAAAATATTCACTTCGAACAGCCGTATCAATAAATTTGACAGGAATTTAATGGTTTGAGCAGTTATCTAATCAGACTTCAGTTCATAACTTATATAATAAACGCCAATCAACCCAACCTTTATTCAGCTTTTGATATTGTTTCTGTTTCAATTCAATTTATTTGGTAAAATAATGATTTTAAAATCTTTTCCTGTCTACAACAAGCATAGAGACTTAAATTGGTCAATTGTATGTCTACTGCTGCTACATCCGATGGATGTTTGTTGGTGGTCAATGCTATTGTAAGCTAAAGCTATCAAGACTTTTGAAGAAAAATGAGGAAAAATTGGGGAAAAGGTCCATTTTTAGAGTCTTATTTAAACAGATGATGATGTCAGTTAATCTAATCATAATGGCCATCAATATCAATAGTGATAGCCATATTGAAACGAGAAATTAATCGCAGCAATTGAATTGATTATTCATACTCACCACTAACAGTTAGACCGAGAAGATGAATACAAGCTTTAGAAACACACAAAAACAAAAGATTCTTCAGCTTTATCATCGGAAATACACCAACTCATCAATCCTTGACTAAGTGAAATCTCATAGAAAATCCTATAAGAATTTTAATTGTAATGATTGAATGATCAATTCAAAATAATCAGACAATGTCAATGTACTTCAATGTAAAGCACAATCCATCATATAATACGAAATGTACATAAAAAGTAGAGTGTGGTCAGGAGTAATCTGTTTAAATGGACCAAAAAAACCGGAGATAGTAGATTAAATGATGCCTGGATTAACGCAACCACTTGAAAATAATTGTTTATCCCAAAATCGATGAAAGATTAAACACAATGATCAAATAAAAAGGCACAAAACAAAAAGACAATGATCATTGAAAAGAGCCATGTGTTTGTTGCCATGGAGCGAATGAAGCGCGTGTTCATAAATTAACCGTAAATGTTCGTAAGCTTACTCAAAAACTATTCAAGCTATTATCATTATTTTCATTCTGAAGGAAAAACATGAAATTAATCTGCATTAAGTGGCATTTGAAAATTAATGACTTTGTCTAGGAGTAGTTGCTCATGATGCTCAAAGATTAGAAACATGTTTTTCAGAGTTTATCATAATGAAGTCAGCAATTGGTTGCAAAGAAAGTTGGGAAATTGTTGTAATTTTGGCCTTTTACTGAATATCTCTCCATGAAAAATGACAAATTGTGATCGAGTGATCAAACAATTTCCAGATCTGATCAAATATCCAAGAATATAAATAATGAGTTCTTAGGTATAACATGAAGAGATGAAATAACAAGGGTTGTCTAAGGGTGTCCAATGGCGATAAAATATGACCTATGACTTGGATGGACATGAACATGAAATTGGGTTTATCCTTATTCCAGACTAAGGATAATATGTGGGTTATTTCAAGGGTAGCTTATCTTGAAATGTTAGTTTCTTAGGTTCATTTACACTTCATTTGTGAACACGCGTTAAATAAAACAATGTATTCATAATTTTTTGTCATTCGATCACGTTGTTGTCATGATAATGAAAATTATATGCCGGTGATTCTGTGAGCAGACAACAATCAAAGACATCTTTATCTTAATCTTTACGTTAAAATGAACCAGCAATCATCTTATAATCATCCTTATTATCAACCCAAGGATTCCAATGTTTTGAATTTAATTTCTTCCTGGTTGGTATTTACTCCCAATCATGCTGAAATGGTGAGCTCAATGTAAGTAATTTAACCACGTTTTTACTTGATGCCATTAATAGTAAATTAATTGTAAAAATGTAAGCATGGTAAACATGTTATGGCATTCAATATGAAATCATCGCAATCTTTGCTGACACAGGTTCAGTTTTACGCCAATCCTTCAGTATATCATTACTATTTGTAGTAGCTAATGGAAGACAAAGTTGCGCTTTATTGCAATTAAAACTGATTCATTTTAATTGTTTTTTTTCCTTTACAATTCTTCTCTAAAATAATTAACTTCTCACTAATTGAAAAGTATAATTTTTCCATCCATCCTTTTTTTTCAATTTCAACCAGCAAATCTAGACGCTTTGCAGCCCAAGAAGTCTAATCATGAGAACCGGTCAAATGTTGAGTTACCCTGAGAGCTTATTAAATTCATTTGAATGGTTGATTGATTGTTAATTAATGATGGTTAATCATGTTTGTCCATTTTAAAAATAAAACAAGAAAGCGATACTTTAAATCAACTTGAGCTACCATTTAAAGCAACTTTTTATTTCAACCCAATCCTACATTGAATACTGTTTTTGTTGCTCGTATCATTTTGTTTTCAGTGAATATTCAGAAATCATTTCTAATCATTAAGTTAATTGTTAACCTTTCCACCCTTTACCCATCCCTGTAGGGATGAAAGATTAAATTAAAATTAAAATAGGAGTTAATGAAAAAGTGAATATCATTGGTTTTTTGCCGGTTACTATTAAAGGTAATGTTGAAGTAAAATGAAAGCTAGGTAACTTGAATCAGCTCAATTGGATAACAATTAATTATCTTTAACAAATTTATTAAAAGCTGGCAGTAAGTCTGCAAAGCAAAATGATAATGATAAAAATGCCGAGAAGATGAAAAAATGAACTTGATCCAGATTCATCTGTCATCATCTGAAATGTTCATCTATTTTTAACTCGCTTTTATTCCGTCTTCACACTAACACAGTCTTTTTATATCCTTCCTTTATTCAGTTTCAAAATATAAGTCAGTCATGCCAATGAGAGGAAAAGGGCAAATGGTAAAGCAAAAGGATTGAATCTGAAATGGAAACAAATTGAATCAAAATGTAAATCAAAAATTTTCAATTAACTGCATTATCTAATTAAGCAGTGACCAGACTGAAAGCCGGATCAAGTCTAAACAAAATGAACCAGACAGTGAACATCCACGATTACCAGAAGATAACCCAAAACCATTGATAAACCAACAGTAATCTGCCGGCTCTGATTCATGAGTTTATCATTCTGTTGATGATTACCAGGGCTTTTCAAAAGGCATTAAATCATTTTTTAATCAAAAAGGCATAAATTTTATGCCTTTCGTCTATCTTTTCCCTTTCTTTACCAGATTGACAGTATTGTTGGGCGCAAGCTTAAATTGAAATTTGGTTCAATTTTTTCTCATCTATCAATCTTGTTGATAATTTTTCCCATTGAAAATCAATGGACTTTTCTTAGGTTTATCTTTTATGCCTAAAAGCATATGCATAAGATAGACGAAAGGCATAAAATGTGAAAAGCCCTGATGATTACCTAACTGAACATCGTAGTCTACCTTCCAAAAATAGACAATAATATACGTAAACCTACCCATGGATTGAGTTATGGTTCCTTCTTTACCAGATTGACAGTATTGTTGGGCGCAAGCTTAAATTGAAATTTGGTTCAATTTTTTCTCATCTATTTACTAAACTCTAGATTTTTGTTTTTACCAAGAGATTTGATTTGAAAGGTTGGTTACGTCAATTCCTTCCTTTACACACTTGAAAGAGACTTCACTAAACTTGTATTATCAAATTCAAAGTCATCTTCTTCTAGGTTAACCAACTGTTCATCTAAATAATCATAATCAACAAATAGTATAACACTATCCAATCAATTTAACCTTGATAAACTTGCCATCTCTCCATCTTTATCATCTTAAGGCAAGAGTAAAGAGACAGTAATCATTGCTTTTAAATAAACCACTAGAGAGCGCTGGTGAGAGGGAGATAAAGGGAGAGAGAAAGGAAAGAAAACGAAGAAAAAAAACGAAAAATTAATAAATTACAAATTGTGAACAACATTTCCCTTTACTCTTTCCATACAATTGACTTTTTTTATCCCTGTTATCACTGACCAGTCACCAATCGCTCAAATTGGTTTAATCGGAAAGATAGTGAAGATGTAAGCAGCAGCATCGTAAATAGTTATTATGTCTATGATAAATCTCGTTACTGATCAATTCAATCATTCGTCTCCTCACCACCGCCATCTCAACCAAAAACAACATCTTCATCTTCACCTTCATCACCATCACCATCACCATCATCTTCATAATATTTTTTGTTTCCACTGTGTATTATGTTAATTTCGCTGTATGTGTTCAACCTCGGCATCACCTTTATTCAAGAGGAATTTGTTTTTACATCTTAATTATTTAAAATCAATCATCAACGAAAAGGTAAGATTTCACCGAACAATCAAAGGTTCATTTTTGTTACTCTTAGTTAGATACATCTGTCAAGATTATCGGATGATATTGAAAATTCTGCATCGTATAAGATTAATTCTAATTTTTCATTTTTTCCTTTTCCTTTCCCTTTTTTTTCAATGACTTTCATTGTCATTTCATCGATTAGCTTAAAATCTCTCAATGAGCCCCATCATCATCCTTCATCGAGCTCCATTTATTCGAAGCACATCCCTCAAGACTGGAAAAACTCCTCCAAATACTCCAGATCGAGGCAAAAAAGCGGTTCGCTTTGCTGACGCATTAGGTCTTGAATTTGAATATGTTAAATTAATAAGTCAAGATGAGCTTCCAACGGTTCCTCGATCAGCATATCAAGATTTACAGCTCAAAGAGTCAATCAGCCAAAATGGAGGTAAATCAATTAATGTTTCAAGTCAAACCAGTGTTTCAATCAACAGCCATTGGGACAAAAACAATAACAACGATAACAACAATAATAAGAATCACATCAACAACAATAATAACATCAATTCACAGTCACTTATCATTAAACCTAAAAGAAAAATTTCACCTGTTTGGCCATCAACATATAATCCACATTTACCCAATACTTTGGTTCCTGAATTCCTTCAACCCATAGCATCAGCCAATTTCTGTGATCGAGTTCGTAGTCAATTTGTTTGCCTGGAAAATTGTATAGTCTCCTCTGGAGCAGGTAACATCTCAGTGACCTGTGTAATCCGAGTACTCAATATTGCCTTCGAAAAGTCAGTTACCGTTCGTCATACTCTAACCGAATGGCAGACCACTAGTGATTCTCTGGCCTCCTATTTACCCAACTCGTGTGATGGCTGGAGTGACAAATTTTCTGCAACTTTTTCCGTTCGCTCCGTTTCAAGTGGTGGTGCCCTGGTTCCTGGTCAACGCATTTTATTTGCCATTCGTTATACGGTTAACGGAGACGAATACTGGGACAATAATATGGGCCTAAATTATTCACTTATTTATCAAGCATGAATTAGTTTTACAGCAATATATTATATACATATATATATAATTTGTGTTGGTACAAAGAAGCAGCAAAACACCAAAAAACGATTTTAAATTGATAAAAACATTTTACATGTTTTTCTGATTTCTGGGGAAAACAATTGTCATAATTTACTTAAAAATCATGTTTCTCCCTATAGCTGTCATTGAAAAACAAATCTTAATAATTTCATGTCTTTCTCAAATCATCCATCTATTATTTATCAAATTGTTGATTGAATAAAAAAATAGAAATTATTTCCGCATTTAATTGTTTTTAAAAAACTTTGCTTTCAAATCTTAATTCTTAATGTTGTGTGGGTGAATGAAAAATTCTGCGTAAAAATAGACTAACCTTATCGAGTTGAGATTATCAAATGACAAGCTTTCACCACATGTTCTGCAGATGACTATGATAGCGATAAGCAAAAATTAGTCTCAGATAGTTAAATCAAACTAAAATGTTAACCTTTTACACTGGTTGTTCAATAAAAAAAACAATTGATTAATACATTCAGCTCAGATAGTGATGACTGGATGATATGCAGATGCTTACTGTTATATCATCATGCGTTGAGAAATGTTTGCTATTGTTGATAAGTTTTAACAACCATTGGTTAACATTGTGTAACGCAAATGGTGATCATGCTGCATGATTGATAATGAGAGTTGGTTTAATTTTCAAGATATTTACCTTTAATTGATAATAGATGAAAATGATAAAAGATCAATTAATTGTTTAGTTTAACAATATTGATTTCTTCTTCTTCTCTTTAATGCAAAGGGGGAAAAATGAGTTTACCAGACAACCTTGTGAGTGAAACTGAGTTGTTAGTCAAAAACATCAACAATTATTGGTTAACTAAAAATAAAATCAAATGAAATCATCAGCAATTTAATTGAATTATCAACAAAAAATTAACATCAAGGCTGGCTTCGAGTGATCATAATAAAGAGTCTTCTTAAGTTTCCAGTTATTCGGCTTATTGTATTACAATGCAATTACAATGCAGTAAGGCGTTTACCCGAAACCAATGGTAACCATAAAACAACAAAAAAACTGGTAACCAGTTACTGGTGACCTGTTGTATCCACCTTACAATGTTAATCTGGGAGGGAAAGATCCTATGACGATAGGTTGGCAGGTTTATGTAACTTTGATTTACATGATTTTATATTGTTATTGCTGCTAAATATTGTTTATTTAGTTGAATTATTTGTAAATTGTTGATAAACAATGGATAAAAGTAACCTTTACCTGCAACTGGCAATCATTTTATTGGCCTTTGGATACAGTAAGTAAACTTTTGCTGTCTACCTTTTTCCCTTCTCAATTTTCTCCATTCATTTTTAAAGATTTTAACCACTTGTTGTCTTGCTGAATAATTTAATTTTTGCATATTGTCTTTTAAGGTCAATCACTTGATTGTTACGTGTGCTCAAGTCATAATAATACTGATTGTAGCGAGATATTTGATAAAGAAAACACTAAAATACAGCCTACAACATGTGATATTTATGATGCAAAATACTGTATCAAAACTACTGGTCTTTATGAAGGTAACTTTATTTTCATTTTTTGTGATACTTTCTAGTTCGATCTAATCTTATATTTTCGTTGTAATGTCTTTTCCAGGTAAAATAGGAGTCCTTAGATTTTGTTCATCACGGAAATTTGAGGATTATTGTGATTACGTTAAAAGAGTAGGAGATAGTAGGCCGCTACGAAGTTGTGTTTATGCATGTAGCTCCGATGGCTGTAATCGAGGTGATAAATTATCTAATGTCAACTCATTGTTAGTTTTTACGAGCTCAATCATTTTTATGGCAGCATATTTCAAATAAGGAAATTTTGTTCAATTTTATTTTTATTGAATAATTGGTCTTATGTTAAATAAGCAGTATCAATTCAATATCCTGTGCCATTGATGTTTCACTATGGAGTCAAGCTGTTCTTTTCATATTTTCTCACTCTACATTTCGCATTCAATTCCAGTTGATTAATAATTATGCTGGTCATATATTTACAAATCATCGCTACATATCCTGCTAACTTAAGAATATCAATTTGCTCTGCATTTCTGAAGAAAGTTGTACCGGCTTGCTTATGAATCTCATAATATGCGCCAATTTGCTGATTGTGGAATAAAAAACATCTATTTTGAGTATGAAACTGACTTGTACAAAATATCTTCTCTGGTATGACATGGAAGCTGAAATATAACAAAGTTTATTCTCGGAAACTTTGAATTGTAGTAGCAATGAGAGTCGGTGACTACCAATTTAGAATAACAAAACTTATTAAAACAAAATATTTCCTTTCACTTAAGCCTTAAAAGGGATTATTGGCATCACTAAAAGTCTGTATTTTTAGCCGATTTGATTGATTATTTTGTAGAGTCAGTATTAGTCTCCATCTGATCATGGATTTTTTCAGTCGGTGGATTTCCTTTGTCCCAAAGCTCCTTTACTTTTCTTTTTAATTCGCGTCTTTTAGCAGCTTCAGCCTCTTTTTTAATTCTTATTTCATCTTCAACGGCCCTAATTTGGGCTTCGACACTTCTATCGCCGTTGATGAAATTATCCAACTTAGTAACCATTAATTCTCTAGCTCTTTTACGGTTACGCTCCAATTCTCTAAATTCGTGATTCTTTACCACAATGCCTATGATTAAAGGAATTAAATTGAAGAGCAAAATTTTAGAAAGTGAAATGTTAAATGCATCTAATAACTGTATATTTACCTGTAGGTTTATGAACTAAGACGACACAATTTTCAGATTTATTAACTTTCGAACCTCCAGGTCCACTTCCATGAGTAAATGTTTCATCCAAATCTTTTTCATCAAGCTTAGGGACCAAAGAATAATCAATCTTGCTCTTAATTAATTTCTTTGATAGAAATCGTACATCGATGAAACTATTCCTTAATAAAATAGATTGACGTAAGTTTAACATTGGTTAGCATTTAAGATTCAATGCATCAAGTTACAAAATGGTTCGTCATCAATTGATCCTAATCTAAACGATTTGATGGCTGCAGGTAAGTTTGAATAAAGCAGGATGTAATTTGATTACTAGACATTAAACCAGACAATATTGAAGTCGGATGAAATGGTTAGCTAAAGGAAAAACTGTAAGAAACGAAGACATTAGAATGCAAAACCAGCAACAAGGAGAGTAATAACTCTTCTACTTACCTCTTAAATTTTAAATCGTCCAATTTCAATCATTAAATTGGCATCCATTTGAATTAGGATTGAAAAGTTGAACAATTAAGATAAGTAACATGGTAAACACTGAATCCATATCAACAAACCATCTGTAAATAAAGAGGCGAAAAGTGATATGTTTAGAGAACAGAAAAAACCCGCGAATAAAAATAGCATTCAAAGTGTAAATATTAATAGAACTGATTTTCATCTAAATTTTTCCGTTAATCATCTAGAAGAAATTATTTGGAAAGGAAAAAATTTTTTCCTCGATCATCTTGAATGAGTAAATGATAAGAGCGCTTAAAAGTTATAACTTGATCAACCAATCATTCACTGATATCTTTGATGTGTGCTTTTGTAAAGAAATAGAAATTTTCATCTCTCAAAATAAGTGCATTTTCTGGTTGACCATCAAAAGTTACATCAGTAAAATGATTTTCATCAAAAAATTTGCTTCCATAATTGTACAAAAAGCTATCCAAGTTTCACCTTTGAACTCAATTTTCTCAAAAACTGTTGATCAAAGGGCTATTTAGATCGCAAAAATGGACTCAGTTTTTATGTCCCTACAAACCAACAGAATCTAAATTTGAAAGAAATCAATTTTGTACCCGTTTTTGCCAATTTGTGTTAATTTGTGCATAAATGTGACAATTGTGTTGGCGCCCTCTATTGATATAAAATATCCCCAAATTTTGGGACTGGGCCAATCTTTACCAAAAACTATACAGTAAATTTCGACCCCTATAGGAACCTATTCTGAAGATTTCATCAAAATCGTGATTATGTTTCTTGAGTTATCGTTACACAAAAAAACGCGAATTCACCGTATATGTCTTCGCTTCGCTCAGACAATTAATAGAACTGATTTTCATCTAAATTTTTCCGTTAATCATCTAGAAGAAATTATTTGGAAAGGAAAAAATTTTTTCCTCGATCATCTTGAATGAGTAAATGATAAGAACGCTTAAAAGTTATAACTTGATCAACCAATCATTCACTGATATCTTTGATGTTTGCTTTGATTTATGAGGAGAACAAGGATTGTAACAATTATCAGTACTTTTTTATTGATTTTCTTTACTTATTAATTGACCAGGTGGGTTGATCAATAAGAAGAAAGCATTGATTAAACATAAATACAGAGTTGTTGATAGTTTTATTAAATTTGATTAGAATCACCGGTTTGTTTCCATTACAGTTTTACTTTGAAAATCTATTGAAAGATGGAGCTCCACTGTAGGCAGGAAAACAAAATTTTTACACAATTGAAGAGTTGATTAAATTTTCTCAAAAAGTTTATCTTCTTCTTCATCATCGTCCTCATCATATAATTCATCACAGGTGAGAATAACTTTATTTTGATTAGAGTTATAACTCGAAAAATCTGATATCTTTTGATATCGACGATTATTTCTTGAGGTAAATAATCCACCTCCGGGATTTGATCTGTAAGTTGAGATCGTTTGGAGTAACAAGAAAATCACGGCGATAAGAATTAAAGATGAAAAACATATCACTATTATCACAGATGGTGGACTATTAATTAAATTGTCAAATATAACTTTATAAGATGAAGTTAATTCCATCTTTTTTGGTCCATAATTATTATTAACTGGAGTATCAACCATTGGTAGAGATGATACACTGCGTGTTTTTGCTGGAACTAAACATGGACCCAATGGACTATCACATTGGCAACAATTTTGATTGTCATTGTAATTAATAGCAGGTTTGCTTTGTTTCCTCTTTTTACTTAAAACATTTTCATTATCTGAATTACTTTTATCGTTTATTAAAGTGTTTGATAAATTAAAATCTAATGGATTTGTTGCTTGAGATAATGAAGTTGATGAGAATTTTTTGGATGACGATGATGATGATGGTTTGTTACAGCAAGGTAAACAACGGTTTGAATCTAAAAATAATGGGAATCGGCACTCAACACACTCATTGGGACTTGGTCCTGAACAAGATGAGCAAGATTCATGGCAAAGATCACAAGATTTGGTCAATTTGTTGAAATATGCACCAAGTGGGCAAGGAAGACAGAACCCATCTTTCGGGGGTCCAGAATTAAAGCAACTCAAACATTGAGAATGAGATGGACCAGAACAAGTTCCGCAAGATTCGTGACATCTTCTACATTCTGTCGATTTTGAATCCTTGTTTGGCTTTGATTCGTAATAATTTGATGGACAAGAATCTAATGAACAAAAGCCTTCTAAAAGACGATAACGTGATTGACATTGATTACAGACAACTGCGGGTGATGATAACGACGATGAAGGTATTTGACTACATGAGATACAATAAGGTGGGCATCGGTTATTTTTACACGTTGAACTTGTACAAAGAGGTGAACATTTGTTGGTTAATTTATCCAGTTGTAAATTGGTTTTACACGAAGTACATTTGTCTCTCGATTTAGTACATGTTTTACAATTACTTGAACAGGGAAGACATTCACCAGTTTGGTCAGCATAATACCCATCAGGACATTTGTTTAGGCAGCGATCAGCATAATAATACTGTCCAATATTACAAGTGATACAATTATCAAACGATGGTCCATAGCATGTTGAACATTGGGCACTGCATTTAGTGCATTCAATTGTCTCAACATTACCAAAAGTTCCATCAGGACAATCTTTGACACATTCAGAGGTTTCAAGGTTCATAAAGGTTGCTTTAGGACATTTAGAGGGGATTCGGCGAGGTAAAAAGCGAACAAGTCGAGAGGGATCTTCATAATTTGGAATTGGCTCATTGATACCATAAAAGGTTATTCCCCATGAAATGAGTTGACCCGGTTTTTCAGCTGGAGTAAGATCATTTTTTATAATTAATCTCCACACTCCACGAGGATCTTCACCCCAGAAGTGGACAGAAAGGAAAGGCCATTGTTCAAAATTATTGTCTGACATGTCTTTAACCCGGGGTGTCAATAAATTGGAAACAGTCCCAGAAGGAGAAATGAGTGTAATTTTTAAATATCCACGCGGCTTAAAATGCGCATCAACTCGAGTTTGCACATGTTCAAGATATCTGATATCAGATGATGTTCCCGAACACCCAGTCCAATTTAAGGTTACTTCCAGTTGGTCAGTAAAGCTTGCAGGAATTAATAATTTTTCTTCTCGAACAGCAGATTCACAGATAATCTGGGGTGGAACAGGATGCCATTTTTCTGCCAAATCAACCATAGCTTCTGCATCCATCAACCCATAACCAAATTTATGACTAATGTTACGACCAACAGCATTGGTAAACCAGCCATTTTCATTTTTTAAAGGCTCATAACGAGATGTTCGTACAACAATGTGTTGCATATCACGCCAAGTTAAATTGGGATTAGCTTCCAAGGCTAGGGCACAAATGGCTGCAGCAATGGGTGCTGATGCAGAGGTTCCGGTATGTGATTTGGTACAAAGCCGGGAAGCATCTGGAGGCCAGCCTTTCTCAAGTGATTCAAAGTAAGATGTATCCATATCGACTGTCACTATATTTTCATCCCGCCCAAGCGAACCACTGCTATAAGTAGTTGCCAAGGTTGACGAGCACTCTTCAAGATACCAAGGTTTGGTACCACTTTGAGTAGCCGAGCTGATTGATAAAGTATAAATTGAATTGGTGTAACCATCACAGTTACAATTGTCATCACGTCTACCACCGTTACCCGATGCCCAAACAAATATCGACCCTTTTCCTCGACGACCCTGAAAATAAAAACAATAAATTAGTCAATACTATTAACAATGAGAAAGAATGGAATGAAGAAAGAGATTTCAATGCAAGGCCACATGTAATCTTTAAAAAATAGCAAAAATAGCGTCTTAGCAAAAATCTTGAAAAGCAACGAAAAGGGTTGAATGTTCCTTCAACCAAGAAGGAAGATGAATCAAATCATTCTGTACGTTGAATTTGATTGTATTATAATCAGAGAGCAAAAAAATGAATGAACAAAGCTAAAAACAATAATCATCGGCATAACAACAATTATAATTGTGATCAATACCTGTCATTCATCACAGGAAGTAAAATTTTTCATGACTACTATTTACGATCATTATCATTGAATTTGTTGTTACCTGGGTAAGGGACAACTCATAATTGAAATGACCATGAATGGTTTAAAGGTAATTGTGATTACGTCAAAGCATTGAAAAAAGGAAATGACAGTAAACAATTAAACAAATTGTTATATTGCTACCTTTTTCGCAGTCTAATTTAAAATATTTTTCCAAGCAAACAAAAAAGACTTAAACCACAAAATGAACAACAAAATGTGCAAACACAAAAAATAGCAATACGTTTAGGACATAATCAGTAACAACAGTTGTGGTTAGCGTTTCTAGATCTTCTCGCAGCTATAAGCTCTGATTACTGTCAAATGTGTTAAACCTTTTTAATCCCGTCGATAAAAGCACGTTTTGCAAGCCTACCAGGTCCATCAACTGTTTTGCCATCATCCTCAGGCCCCCATGAGGCACTATAAATATGAACATGATCAGGATTAAGGCCAAGTGCACGGGCTTCAACCTCGTCAGTGACCACACCGTCCAACATGCGAACTCCTCCAATACTACTATTAAAAGCTATTCCAACGCCACAAAAGTCATTACCAGCAACAGCAGCTACTTCGCCAGCACATCGAGTACCATGCCTGTGAAAGTAAATAAATACAAAAAACAATTAGCAAAGCAGCAAGTGAAACATTAGCAGTTAACATTGCTTTTAAATGGCATTGACTTTTGAAAATAATCAATGCCAAACAAATCAATATGATTGTTTTTAAACGGAAAGGCAAAAAAAGAGATGAATCTTTCAACCAATCTGTTAACTATTGAAAGATGATGAATTTGTTGCCTTGTCCAATTCAATTAACATAATATTTACTTGTTATCTCCGTTATCCTGAGGAGTTGGATCAGGGTCATTGCTGTTTACATCATAACTTGCCAATGGATCCTAAAGATTGAAAATAAATGTGAAAATATTAGAGACAACAAACGAAGAAAAATCAATAATAATTAACTTACATAATTTTCCGCTAGATCAGGATGATTAGGTTGAATACCATCATCCAGAATGGTGACAACAACACCTTTGCCAGTAAAACCTTTCTTCCAAGCAGCAGCAACATTCATATCGTAACCATCTTGAGCTCCTTTATTCTGTCAATCAATTGGTCGAGGAAAATGAAGGTAACAATTCATGTAAGTAAATTCATTGATTGACATGGTAAGAAGGTAAAACAAAGAAATATAAATAATTGAGTTAACATTTGAGTGTAAAAATAAATTGATTGTGAATTTTAACAAATAAATTTCATCTCTATTGGTTTTAATTTAATAAATAAATGTTAATACAAAAAATTAAGTGTTGTTATACTTATGACTCGCAGTGTATCACATTCAATTTTCTGAGAGGAAATTTATGTTAATTGGAGCAATTGTCTAATCACAATTGAACACTAAATCAATAGCATTATACTTACAATATACCATTGCTCTTTGAACAGTGGATCTGAAATTGTTTCAGGTACGTCTTGACTTATACTTGCTCGTTTAACACGTTTAATAATTTTTTGATGTTCAGCCCAAATAACCTGCAAGTAAACAATTCATTAATCAACAGATAATTCATAGTTAAATGTGGAAAGTAGATTGATTGTGATATAAATGCATTACTTTCGAGATATTTTTGATATGTTGGTTAATTTGATATTCATCTGACATTATTTAGCCAATTGATGGTCATATTTGATTTTAGGTAAAAGCAGAAGGAAAAACAAAATGTTTTCTGTACTCTTTTATATTACATGGTAAACGATAATCAAGCTTTATATTAATAACAATCGGATGACGGCAGAGTCAATTGAATAGTCAATTTGATTGAACTAAAGATATTTTGAATTGAAATTTAAAAGATAAAAGATTAAAGGTATAACTGAAAGGTAAAGGGAATACAAATGAACAGTAAATAATGTAAACATCAATTGAATGCTAATTCACCTGAAAATGTCAACAATAAACGAAAATTTGACAAATAAGTTTAGCTTAAGTTAAGTTTTTTGAATGAATGATGGCTTAAATTGTTAATTAGCTCGACTAAAATTGATTTGTTGGGTTGGTGAGACTCAATATTGATCAACCATTAAGTTGACTTTTTTGTTCAGAAAATTGTATCAGACAAACATGGAATTTGTTTTTCTGTTGATCATCATGATGATGGGAAAGGTAAACATGGCAGGGAAATAAATGAAATTAAAGCAATGTTTAGTGGTAATGATGATCAAGATAACTTACCCTTTCATCCCCTTTGAGTTTGGCAACATATTCATGTGAATGGTCAGTTGAACGCTTTGAAATACCATGATGTTCAAATAAATAATGATTCTCTAAATTCCCAATCTGTAACAAATAGAAGTACAAAAGATTAATTGTTATGCATTTTACAATAAATTTAATCAAATGTAACAGTTTTTCATTGCAATTAAGAGAAATGATTCCCCGATAATCAATAGCGAAAAAAGTCAACTTTCTCACTGAAAACATTGAATGCTAAAAATATAAACAAAAAATTGTCTATTCATTTGAATAAGATAATTTTCACTCGAAGTTGAATTGCCTTTTTTTCCTGATAATCAATACCAACAGTTGAACGAAAAAAATGCTTCACCATTTCAAGTATAACAAACAATTTACTAATTTAATTCAAAATCAAAGGTTATTGCCTTATTGTGAAAGGATTGAATACAAATGTACACTTTGATATTGTTAACAAAATATGTTAATGTTTATTAAAATTGAAACTATTCAGTTTACTTTTGAATTGATTTTGAATGCTGTTTAGATTAGTTTTTACCAACAACTATAATTGATAAATGTTGATTGATCACAAATTGGCAAGTTGAAACGTCTTGAAATGATGAACATTGAACAGTCAGATGCAATCGATGGGAATGATTAAGTAAATTAACCTTTTATTATAAGTTTAATCAAGATTGATAAGAGCAAATTAGATGGAAATGAGAAGTACTTTGAATACGCTCAGTTTATTATTGGAAGTTGACAGGAAAAAAACATTTAAACGTTGATTAACAAGATTGGAGAATGTATCTGAATAACTAACTATTGATTCTTGGTTTGGTTGATTAGGAATGAATTTTGGCACCTGAACTGGATAGACAATCAAAAGTAATGAGCAAAATACAATGTAATTAGTTGCCAAGCGTCAAGTTTAAAATGTATACAATTTTATCCCAATCATCAGATTAACCATCAACAGTTATCATGTAGAGACAAGGTGACACTTGGACTTAATAAGTTTCCAATCAATATCCAGGTAAAAATCAAGTTGAGGCAATAAATTAACAGTTCAAGGTTTACAGAAATTATTTCTTTTCAATTAGTAAATCACCAAAACAGAAGCAAAATAATGAACATTTTTTTTTCGCTAACTATTCAGTTTGTATTGATAAATATCCATTAAGTTTATGTTTAAAAAACTAAACCATCTTTTCAGTTTGAATGATTGAAATGAAAACTATGTTAAGGTCATTATTGTGATTATTGAAGCTATCATTTGATGTTGTGGTGTTGATGATAGTAATATTTTGGTAAGTAAATTGACTTAATAAAGTTTATTAAGAAAGCGAAAGCCCAAAGCTAAAGCATGGTAAAATGGGTGAAAATGAAAGACTGGAAAGGTAAGAATCTTTTAAATCTTGGTTATTGGTATCATCATGATCATCATCATAAACCTTAATCGGTAGAGCATGAGATAACAATTATCTCAACAGTGAGACTCTTTTAGGTTCATTTTGTAAGTATTATATCACAATTAGCAACCTGTAATCAAACAGTGGGTAACAGCACCTCAACCTAACCATTATACAAATCCTTTTATTAGCTGTGTACTGTTCAAGGGTTCAACATTTATGGTGATACTTTTCAATGTTTATTTCAATCTATCCACAGTTAATATTGTAATCAAATATAATAACCATTTATATACTCTCGGCCAACAATCATTTAGTTTTGTAATAAACTGTGAACAATAAAAAAGATGACTGTATATTGACTAAAAGTAGCCTTTTCTATTACTAATTCAATAGAGTTGAATAGTTGTCGAGTTTTTCAAGTTATAATTAGTGAATAGTTGTCATAGAGTAGAAAAGTTAATAGTCAAGAGTTAAATCAACAACTTGACTGTGAGATTAGCGATCAGAATGTATTATCGGTGAGCAAATTATATTGATAAAATTGTTTTAATTTGCATCTCATGTTATTTTTTGCATTTTTTCTCCACCTTTTTCAATATTGGCAGTATTTCAAGGTTTTTTTCCCTGGCAATTTCTTTGTAAATCATCATACTGATCATCAAAGATGATAATGATGATGGCACATATGAAAAATATTACCAAATAATTAAGTAATAGCAGAGTTGGTTTGAAGCGAACACAAAAAGAAACTAAAATGTTAGAGATGAGATAAGAGATTACCATTTATCTTAAGCTGTTGCCCTGGACTTTCAAAATGACAAATAAGGTTATTTTATGATATAATCACAATAACATGATGATTATTAAGGTGAATTAGTTACTAACCTTTCCAATAAAGTGGAATCCATGAGAAGAAGCTAAATGACGGGCATCTTGTTCGCTTGAATCAGCTTTAAGTTCAACTGCAAATCTATTGGTAAAAACATTTTCATCCTGGCACAAAATTTGCTTATTTGTAAGCATTAAGGCAACAATCAGGAATAATAATTGTCTTGAATATGAAGTTAATGATGATGATGATGATGGTGATAGACTTAGTGTCACCATTGTAGTTGAATACAGAATTGGGTTGAAAATTGGTTTTCACGGTTAAGGTATAATGCTTTCAGGTTGCTGTAATGGTTGACGAGTTAACACTTGTTTCAAATGCCAAGTAAACGATGACTATCTGTATAAAACATGGCTTCTTCCATCATCCGGATGATTCCAACATTTGATTATTATGAAAATAATTACATTTTAATTTAAAAATCAACCTTTTTTTGTTGGTAAAAAATCTGGTTGATTATGGAAATCAGAGGTGAAAAATTACAGTTGCTATAAACAAGTTGAACTGTTACACTACCATGTCTGTTGATTCGCGTTTTGCCTCTCACTTTTACTCACTATAATTCTTAACTCTCACTCTCCCTCTCTCTCTTTCAAGGCAGGTTGATTTCACAGATGGCTTTGATGGTGTTGATGGGAATAATGATGATTGTGTCGGTGTTGAGAGGAAGGTTGATTGATTGAGATTAGAAAGTGTTCATCATTTAAACAAAATATTTCAATTTTATATACAAAACAGCAGTCAAAAGCAAAGAAAGCTTTCACTTGATCATTGGGAAGAAAGAGAGAGAGAGAGGAGTTAAAGGAAGACTGAGATTGGGATGAACATTATTAAGAAGTGGTAATGGAGTTAAACATGGAGGGTTAACACAATTAACAATCAAATGAGAGGGAAGATAAAAAACAATGGTTTTTGATGAACAGTCACACAAACAGAAGAATAGCAAAATAACATTATGAGATGATTTTGAAGAGAACAGTAAAAGAAATGTGACCAAGAAGAGAAAAAACGAAGAGAAATGTTGACAATCCACCTTAAAAAAGCTGCCAATCAAGATGACTGACTGTTAAATAGATGATGACGATGGTGAGAGTGATGCTAATTGAAAACAAAAATGGTAAATTTTATATAATTTGTGATTAAACAGTATTCATTTCATTGTCTTAAGCACAGCAAAAAGCAACAACAACCAAATGTTGAATCCCAAAACATATGAGCCTTTCCCAGCCCACTTGACGTCAAACAACAAACTCCACCTTTCGGATGAAAATGTAAAAATTTTTCAATGTTAAATAATTGATGATTAGAGTAAAACAATTAATCAATTTAATCCCACAATTAATCATTTAACAAGGAATAAACCCATTTGCTTAATAAGTCGATAAATAAGGCAGCCATTTAAATAGATCATAAAGATTAACATTTGTCCAGTTCAAGTACAAAATGAATGGACATTGAAAGTAAGCCCTTGGACTTAATCATTAAAATTAAACTCGTATTGACCTAATCAGCGAGGCAACAATTGAGTTAATTTATATTTCTCAAGAGTTTACCAGCTGATAATTGAACAATTACATTAGTTAATGTGATGAAAGCCTTGAAAGTGATGACAATCCCGAGTCTTCAATCAAAATTGGATAATGAATTGTTTTTTCAGGATTACCTTAATGGATACGAAAGCCATTTTTATAATTTGTTAAGACAAATTATCATCATTATTTCACATTAATTTGACTGTATTTCAACTGAACTGAAGTTTAATTCAGGTTTCACTAAAATACCAGATTCTTTATACTGGCCTGAAAAGATATTGAAAGAAAACAAAAAACTGGTAAATTGAATGAAACCAAATCCTTTGAATAAGACGGAATCTGGTTTTGTTTAACATTCAATGAATGCTAAATATACGATTTAAACAGTCTATAATTGTCGTTGATTGTTTAAGCAGGAAAATGCAAGTTAATCATCAATTGTTGGGAAAATTGCGACCATTTGCAAGATTAAAATTCTTGCTCATATCTGTCAATTCATTACCTTTGTGAATATTGAGTTACCTTGAGTTTTTCAATGGATGACAAGTTTATTTATCTTTTATAGCAATTGCATGATACAATCGATTCTTTATGAAAGGCTGGAATTTATAATTACAATTAAAAGATCAAAATTTGAAAAGACATTAGACAATTGAGTAAAGAGAGGAAAGAAGATAATTGATTCTCTTGAAAATGTATTCAGAAATGATTACCAATTCAAATAATATTTGAAAACAAAAGCTTTTTGTTGGTCTGAAGTTAATTTTTAAAGTGATTTCTTGTATAGACAAGGAACCACAGCCATCAGTTTAATCCAATGTAACTGAATTTACATAAAGCTCAGAGACTCGACAAAGAAATTGAAAGAGCATGTAGTTGATTCCCACAGAAATGGCTATTCAAAGCACGAAACAGCTTCTTCAGTTCCTAGGAAGGAAAAATATTGAAGTTATTCGAAATATTACAGATCAAGAATTGATGAGCGTCATTCCAAACATTGGAATTGGTTGCCTAGTAATCATTGAATGTAAACGTGGGCATATTATAGACTTGATGTAACTCCATATAATTACGTGTAATTGTATTTGCCAGACTTTTCATTTTCCTTTTCAATAAAAAGTTCTTTATTAAAAAAGTGTTTCTATTAATAAATTACTCTGCCATTCTGTAATCTGATCCATGATTGTAAGGTTAAAAAGCGTTTTTAAATTGAGAGTAATTGTGAGAAATAAATGTAAATATAAAGGAATGAAAGCAATAAAGGAATGAAAAAGGGTTCCCGGGTTAAAAGTAGAGGCTTGGTAAGTTTGTAAAGGCATAAACTGAGTCTATTTATGCAATAATTGTTTTATGATCGGTAGTTTGTGATTGCATTACTTTCAAAGTTAAATATTCGGCTCAAACTATTGGTTGGTGAAACTGCAAAAGCTCGAACATTTTAGTTGAAATTTTAGACTTTAGAGTTATTGGTGCTTAGTTGTAGGAACAGAAATACTGACAAGCAGTGCTTTTAAAAATTTCTGCGATCGACGGTTTTTCGAGGAACCGTCGAACAAAGTTTAGACTTCGATAGCCTTTTCTTCGACTTGGAAACCAGGTTTTTGCATAAAACTGATGAAGCTAGTGTAGCTTTCGATGAATAACCAGAAAATATACTTACATTGAGAAATACAGCTTTCTGTTCAAAATAAAACAGATAAGTTAAATTTCCGATAGACTGGCCGCATTATAGGAACGATAGAGTTAGAGAGCTGAAACTTATTTTTCGTTGGTACACATTAGGGATTTAACAATTTTTTCATACTATCAATAGTTCGCTAGATTTCACCCATTAACCCAAAAAATTCGCGTCGCAATATTTTGCGTCTGGTAGTACCTAGAATCGTTATTGTTTGACCAAACATTATATTTTAGTATGGACTATTATGTGTAGACATTTGAGATCATTAAAGATGATACAAGACAAGTTATAGTAGCGAATGGTTTATGTTACCAGATTTGATACTTGGTTAACAAAAAATCTGGTTGCTTATGAAGCGTTAAAACAATATTCAGTATTGAATGAGATAGCTCAAATTCCTTTGGTATTGTGTGACATTATGCTATAGGTCAGACTAAAATCAAATGTTTGATCAAAGAATGGCGATCATAGGTACTATCAATCTCGAGACAATTAGACTCGAAGTTTTTGGGTTAATTGTCAAAATCAAGCGAACTATTGATAATATGAAAAAAGTGTTCGATCCTTGCTCTGCACATGCAATTTCTATGAGCAAGAAATAAGTTTCAGCTCTTTAACTTCATCACTCGTTGAATGGGGCCAGTTCAATCAAAAATCGAACATATCTGTTTTATTTTGACCATAAAACTTTATTCCTCATAATGAATGCATTTTCTGGTTAAGTATCGAAAGTAGTAGTATCATCTGTAGTTTCATGCAAAGATTTAGTTGTATAGTTGAACAAAAGTCAATCGAAGTTTTAACTTTGGAGTCGAATATCTCGAAAACTGTTTATCGCAGAAAGAATACTGATAGACTCAGTTTTTATTGGCCTACAATTAAGGACCAATTTATAATTTTTATGTGAAATTAGAAAGTTAAGGCTATTTAATCACTGCTTTTGAGCAAAGCGAAGCGCATTTATTGTTTAGTTTTGTTGATGTTGACCAGAAAAGAACAGTAAGCGGCAGAGAAATAGAAGCAGGGTTGATCTTTTATATCGAAATGTTATCGGTGTCTCAATTTGACAAGTCACTAAGAACTAAGAAACTCGATTAGCTAACAAACATCTTCTTAGCCTTCATACTTTACCTAAAGCTTTATAATTTAATCCGCTCAATAATACCTAGTACAAGAGACTTCACGGCATTATCCTTTCGTAAGAGTAAATATCCCAGTACCGATTATAAGAAGGATGAAGAAGAATTTGAAACTAAAGAATATCTGACCGAAGTCTCAAGCAATCTAATTTAGTTTTATGTACTGCAACTAAACATCAAAGCATTAAAAGAAAACATCTTTGATTTGCAAACGATTACAAACATTTTTTAAATCTGCAAAAGAAGTGCTGCAAATGCTCGAATATTATAGTAGAAAGTTAATAATTAGTGCTTTGTTGTAGAACCATGAATACTGAGTCCATTAGTACTCTTGGTAAATTTCTGAGATCAGTATTTTTTGAGATATTCGACTCCCAAGTTTAAACTTCGATCGACATTTGTTCAATTATGGAACTAAATCTATGCATGAAACTCATTTTGCCAGATGTGAGTTTTGATGCTTAACCAGAAAATGCACTGCTTATGAGGAATAAAGTTTTATGTTCAAAATAAAACAGATATGTTCGATTTTTGATTAAACTGGCCTCATTCAACGAGCGGTGAAGTTAAACAAGTGAAACTTATTTCTTGCTCATAGAAATTACATGTGAGTATCAAGCACTGAATAATTTTTTCATACTATCAATAGTTCGCTAGATTTTGACCATTAACCCAAAAACTTCGAGCTTTAATATATCGAGATTAGTAATACCTACGATCGCCATTCTTTGAACAAACATTTGATATTAGTCTGACCTATAGCATAATGTCACACAATACCAAAGGAATTTGAGCTATCTCATTCAATAATGAATATTGTTTTAACGCTGCATAAGCAACCAGATTTTTTGTTAACCAAGTATCAAATCTGGTAACATAAACCATTCGCTGCTATAACTTGTCTTGTATCATCTTCAATGATCTCAAATGTCCACACATAATAGTCCATGCTAAAATATAATGTTTGGTTGAACAACAACGATTCTAGGTACTACCAGACGCAAAATTTAGGGACTCGAAGTTTTTGGGTTAATGGGTGAAATCTAGGGAACGATTGATAGTATGAAAAAAGTATTCAGTGCTTGATGTTCACATGCAATTTCTATGAGCCAAAAATAAGTTTCATCTCTTTAACTTCACCGCTCGGTTGAATGGGGCCATTTTAATCAAAAATCGAACATATCCGTTTTATTCTGAATAGAAAACTTTATTCCTCATAATGAGTGCATTTTCTGGTTAAGCATCAAAAGCTACATTTGGTAAAATAAGTCTCATGCAAAGATTTAGTTCCATAATGGAAAAAATGTCGATCGAAGTTTAAACTTCGGAGTCGAATATCTAAAAAAATACTCATCACAGAAATTTTTTAAGAGTACTAATGGACTCAGTATTCATGGTTCTACAAAAAACACTAATCATTAACTTTCTACTATAATGTTCGAGCATTTGCAGCACTTCTTTTGCAGATTTAAAAAGATGCTTGCAATTGATTGCAAAGTTAAAATGTTTCTTTAAATGGTTTAGTATTTAGTCATGTTACATAAAGCTAGCATAGATTGTTTGAGATTAACCGCCGACTCACTTTTGTTATTTCTTAGACTTGAACTGGTTAACTCATTCTCGTCTTTGGTCATCTGTAGTATTTTCAATCTATTTCGACTCGAGGTATTATAAGAATGAATATGCTCAGCAAATTTTTCTCTGGTTATTTTACAACGTTTTAGGTTAAACTTTGATGCAAGTCTAAAGTAAAGACTTTTTAATCACTGAACTTAAGCATCGCAGTTGCTTGGGATTTTGCACCATCTCGGAATCACTTCAAAGCAATTATGATCTTTAGTCAACAATTGTTCGGTCATCGGATATACAAGCATTTCAAGATTGATTCGATCGATTTCGATTGACATTTGTTCGTATACAGAACTAGATTTTTTTATGAAACTTATTTTGCCAGATGCAGCTTTTGATACTTAACCAGAAAATGCACTCGTTATGTAGAATAAAGTTTTCTGTTCAAAATAAAACAGATATGTTCGATTTTTGATTAAACTGGCCCCATTCTACGAGCGGTTAAGTTAAAGAGCTGAAACTTATTTTTTGCTCATCGATAGTTCGCTGGATTTTGACCATTAACCCAAAACTTCAAGCTTTAATATATCGAGATCAGTAATACCAGTATAGTATGGACTATAACATAATATGACATAATACCAAAGAAATGTGAACTATCTCATTTAATACTGAATATTGTTCCAACGCTTCATGTGCAACCAGATTTTTTGTCAACAAGTATCAAATCTGGTAGCATAAACCATTCGCTGCTATAACTTGTATCATTTTCAATGATCTCAAATGTCCACACATTATAGTCCAGAATAAAATGTAATTTTTCGTTAAACAATATTGATGGTAGGTACTAACATACGCAAAATATTGAGACTCGAAGTTTCTGGGTTAATGGGCGAAATGCAGCGAACTATTGAGAATATGAAAAAAGTATTCAGTGCTTGATGTTCACATTCAGTTTCTATCAGCCGAAAATAAGTTTCAGCTCTTTATCTTCACCGCTCGTAGAATGGGGCCAGTTTAATCAAGAATCGAACATATCTGTTTTATTTTGAACAGAAAACTTTATTCCACATAATGAGCTACAGTACTACGTCCAGTTGTTTTGTAAAAATTTTGTTTGTCGCCATCTATTGGGCAAGTAGATTTTACATTGAAAATCTGGCCTTTCAATAATATTTTAAGGTTTCAAAGATTTTAGTCCAGCAAAAATACAAACTAACTGGAAACAAAACAACTGTGTGTAGTACTGTATATTGCATAAAATAAATGGATTTTCATTCTCATGCTTCTTATAATTGGTGCAAGGGTATTTACTCGTACGGAAGGATAATGCCGTGAAGTCTTTGTTACTAGTATAAACCTTATTAAGGTGCAATCAATTATTAAGCATTGTATTAGTTTATTCAAGCATAATTGTTGAAATTAATCCTTAATATCTTGAAAGCATTTTGTGGTTAATTTAAAACCGATGTTTTAGGTTCCTTTGTTTCAACATGAAAAGCTAATTTTGTTTTCATAGGAAACATTGCAAAGCACAAAATTCACTGATGATAAATCAATTTTTGGACTTTTCTGGTCATAATTAGTGGATAAACATGGGATCAAACTGTTTGCTGAAATGATGAATAAAATTTGGGACGAAGTTTGAACTAATGCGAGAAATAGTAAAGAATTGATTTCTTCAATGTTTAACTGAAAATCTTTTTACTGTATATCATTATTCAAGTTGGCTTTCCTGGACTTCCGATTTCCAATGCAGTTAATCACAATGCCTTAAAATTGCAGCTCAAATTAATCAAGAAATAAATTACAATATGACTTTTGTTTCAATATTATTTATTGTTTAAATCTTCTGGTTAAAACCTGTAAAACCTAAAATCAAACCAAATCTAACCTAAATTACAAGTTTTAAGAACTAATTTTCTTGTTCTATCAATTAGTGTAACAATTGAATGAGTTGATGTAACAAATAAATAAGATTCAATACAATTGCACACAATTTGTTTTCTTGAAATGCTTTAATATTCGGTAGCAATTGCTGACTAAAGGCTATAATTGCTTTGAAGTGGTTCCAAGATAATGCAAAATTCCAAGCAACTACGGTGCTTAAATTAGAATAGTAAAGTATGAATAAGTTAACCAATTTAAGTCTGAGTTTAAGAAATAGTCAAAGTTTGACCAGTAATAAAGTAAGTCCGCGATTAATCTCCAACAGTCTGAGCTAGCTTTATTACTAAACATTAAACCATTTAAAGAAAACATTTGCACTTTGCAAACGATTGTAAGCATCTTTTTAAATCTGCAAAAGAAGTTGCTGCAAATGCTCGAATATTATAGTAGAAAGTTAAAAATTAGTGCTTAGTTGTAGAGAAATAAATACTGAGTCCATTAAAACTCTTAAAAAATTTCTACGATCAGTATTTTTCGAGATATTCGACTCCAAAGTTAAAACTTCGATTGACTTTTTTTCAACTACGGAGCAAGATTTTTGCATGCGACTTATTTTGCCAGATGCAGCTTTTGAAGCTTAACCAGAAAATGCACTCACTATGGCGAATTAAATTTTCTGTCAAGAATGCAACGGAAATGTTCGATTTTTTATTAAACTGGGCCCATTCAGACGAAGTTAGAGATGTGAAACTTGTTTGTGGCTCATGGAAATTGCATGTGAACATCAAGCACTGAATACTTTTTTCATATTCTCAATAGTTCGCTGCATTTCGCCCATTAACCCAAAAACTTCGAGTCCCTAAATTTTGCGTCTGGTAGTACCTAGAATCGTTGTTGTTCAACCAAACATTATATTTTAGCATGGACTATTATGTGTAGACATTTGAGATCATTGAAGAGGATACAAGACAAGTTATACCAGCGAATTGTTTACGTTACCAGATTTGATACTTGGTTAACAAAAAATCTGGTTACCTATGCAGCGTTAAAACAATATTCATTATTAAATGAGCTAGCTCACAATTCTTTGGTATTATGTCATATTATGTTATAGCACATACTAATATCTAATGTTTGTTCAAAGAATGACGACCGTAAGTACTACTAATCTCGATACATTAAAGCTCGAAGTTTTTGGGTTAATGGTCAAAATCTAGCGAACTATTGATAGTATGAAAAAGTATTCAGTGCTTTATGTTCACATGTAATTTCTATGAGCCAAAAATAAGTTTCACATCTCTAACTTCGTCGCTCGTTGAATGGGGCCATTTTAATAAAAAATCGAACATATCCGTTTTATTCTGAATAGAAAACTTTATTCTTCATAATGAGTGCATTTTCTGGTTAAGCATCAAAAGCTACATTTGGTAAAATAAGTCTCATGCAAAGATTTGGTTCCATAATTGAACAAATGTCGATCGAAGTTTTAACTTTGAAGTCGAATATCTCGAAAAATACTTATCGTAGAAATTTTTTAAGAGTACTAATGGACTCAGTATTTATGTTTCTACAACTAAGCACTAATTTTTAACTTTCTACTATAATATTCGAGCATTTGCAGCACTTCTTTAGCAGATTTAAAAAGATGCTTACAATCGTTTGCAAAGTGCAAATGTTTTCTTTAAATAGTTTAACGTTTAGTTGTATCGCATAAAACTAAATTAGATTGCTTGATACTTTGTTCGTATTTATTATTTTCAAAACTAAGGCTTCCAAATTGTAAATCTAAACCTTTGTAGCTAAATAACTTCACGAATTTTAGCATTTATAACTTTCTTTTCAGTTGAAAATATTTATATTGACAACAATAACAATCGCGAATGTTTTTAGGTAAATCTTTTATTCGTGCTGGTAAATATGGATCAAATGGTTATTAATTCTCATCCATCTTGTGTTATGTACGTGTTCGGAAGGATAATTTCGTGAAGTCTTTGGTACTGTTCTAGTATAAATCTTATAACGGTGCATTTAATCGTAAAGCATTTAGTAAAGTATGAAAGTTAAGAATAAGTTGATGTTTTGTGAGCTTTGTATTCTAGAAAATCGAGGTTCTAAGTTTTGAGTAGCTTGTCAAATCGTGAAACGATAGCATTTGGATAGTAACGATCAGCCTGCTTCTATTTCTTTACTCTTTACTGTTTTTTCGTTCAACATCAACAAGACAACTAAAATTTCTATGCTAACATACTTTATTTGGTCCCAACTCAAACTGAAAGCATTTCATTTCTCGATTCAACATACAAATTAGCAAACATCGTTTCATCATTTTATTTCAATTTTATTTATTAACATTATTATGAATCTTTCAAGGTAAAATAGAGCACACAAAGGGTAAAAAAGACATTCAAGCTCAAAGGCATCATCATAAGAAATAAAGGCAGAGTAAGAGTCTGAACTGTCGAGAGTTTGGATCGAGCAAGGTTCTCAATCTCATGCAAATCATGATAAACATAGCTCCGAAGGAAATGTTCAAATATATCCAAAAGTTCGAGGAAAAACACCCAAAAAGTAATGTGAATGAGTTCGAAAAGGTCGATGAAAATGAATTGCAGTTGCAACCGGAGCAATGAAAGATCGCTAAATAAATAAATGATGTTGTGCTTAATTGTTTTTGAGTTTTGCTTCAGATGAAATTGAAATGCAAATTTTGAAGAAATATTGAAATGGAAAGCAAAGTCTCATGGTAATCGAGTTATTTGAAAGTCTCCCGTTTCCAGTCCCGATTCATCGTAATAGATTCTGATTGTAACAAATGAATACTTGAATCGACCGTCCATTTGGTTACAAGAATGTGTCTCATCAACTGCATGTTGAAATGATTTGCCAGTCTGATCATTGACAAAGGGTGGAACCACACAAGTTTCAATGTTAACAATTCGAGGTTTGATTCCATTGTTTCGCTGAGCCAAGTCAACGAACCATTCATTGACATCTTGCTGGAAACTTTTCACATTAAAGGCAATTGCAGTTAAATACAGTTTATATTCAAGGCTTGAGACTGACAGAGATTCATAATTGAGAAACAATTTGGAAACTTCATTTCGTTTTGTACAATAAATGCGAAGAAATCGGATTTCTTTATCATTCCTTTCCTTTCTTTTCCAAGTGATTCTCGTCTCAATCGTTTCAGCATCGGGATCTGTATTTGTTTAAAAAGAGAAGACAATTAATCGAAAATGAAAATAATTCTTTAAATTAAAGTCATACCTGGAACATGAATGTCAACAGCTTGAGCATTTACCAGTGATAGTTCAGTGTTTTCCCTAAGCCAGAGAGCTGCTCTTGAGATCATTGAAGAAAACTTTTCCCCATTTCGCCTGGCAAATGTTTCCGAGGAAAGGTCGAAGGGTACAAAATCAGCGAGAACCACTTCATGGTCAAAAAGAGGTCCAGCAAGGTAAAAAACACGTATCAAGATGACATAGTTTTGGTATCGTTCAATGTCCCTAGTGGTTCGACCGTCATTGCAGTAGGTTGCCTCTGACTTGAAGGTCCAATCATCGGTTGCTGGAACCTTTAGAGTCTCCATTTGAACAATTTTACCATTTATCCGACCCTCGAGAAATCGCCTTGTTTATCTTGTCAATGACTCTGTCCCAAGGGTTCAAAATCGACTGTAACCCGACCTCTGATCAGGAGCAAAATCTTTATACCAGAGAAGAGGCTCTCTGGATACCAAGTAGGGTTCATTGGGTCGACGTTTAATCCAAATGCGTAAAATGTTTATTACAGCTGAGTAATCGACTGAATCATGAACTTGATGAACATATTGGGTAACAGTTTCACAGTTGATTATTTCCCAGCATGGATGGCTAATTAACCAATCATTGGCTAAACTCACCAAGGAACTGTTAAAGATAAAAATAAACCCAAATTGTTAATGACATTTGTTTAACCAGAAAAGAGCAACAAACCGAATGTTTACTTTTTGGGTTACATTTAAAACTAAAAGCAAACATTTTGCAATTAAATTCATTTCAGTGTTTAAATTGCTTGGCATTAGCAAATTTAGTCACATTCATTAATCTATTCTTGCATTAATCAATTGCATGCTGACTTACCTGAAATTATGATAAATTACTGTTTCTTTGAGCTTTTTGCAAAACGAAGGCACAAAATCAACATTGGTTAACTGTGTTTCTCCAGTTATATGACTGTCCAAAATGATTCGTTGTTGTGATATTCGCGGATCAGGGCATCTTTCAGATGTAACCTTACGGATTCCTGAATAGCCACGATAAACGATTGGAAACATGATTTAAAACCATGAGAAATGTAGAGGTTCAAGTCAACATTAATGTGCAACCGGATTTGCTGGGGAATAACATTTTAACATGAAAATGCAAAACAAAAACAAAGCAAAGTATGAAATCGTCTAATTTTCAGTTAGATTGTTGTCACTGATTCATTATTTGTAAGCAATCACAATGTTAATGTTAACATTTTGTATCATTGTCAAGAGAAGGGAATGAAAATGTTTAATTAATGGTCAGCTTTGCCTAATGTTGCACATAACATTTGTATTGCTCTGCGAAGCACAGTTCTGGTAACCTGGTTATCATCTTTATCTTCCTGTTCCTGGTTATTGAAACTATAAATAAAATTGGTTCCATCTGTGAAATGATAGGCAAATGGAACCACAACAACACCAAATCTGTAATATTTACCAGAAAATGGAATGAAACATTTCTCTTTCTGGTTGAAAATGTTTTAATTGATGCCAGTTTAATACAGTTTATCTTTCAATTTTCACCAAAAGCTTTTCATTGAAATTTCCATTTCATATCCCAGGTTCATTTCCAGGTTCAAGTTAACACTTGGTGAATGGAAACTGCTATTGAAAATTGCATATTAAATTTGAAATTTAAATTGAAAATTTTACCATTCAATATCAATGCAAATGCTGGTTTTGATATAAACATTGATTCTTTTGGTTATAAGCATTTTTGTTGGGACAAAAAATCGCTTTGTTTGACAAACTGTTGACAATGTGTTGACTATTGATTATCAAGTTATGGATGTCACATTTCAACCCAATCAAAGTTGTCCTTTCATGTGTCTTCATGGAAACTGTTGATTACATTGATTCCCTTTGATTTAATTAGCTGAACCTACCAACGTCAGAAGCCTTTAAAAATTAAGAAAATTAAACATGACTGTTGATCAATGGTTACGTTTACTGTAGACCTGACAAATTGGCTTTAGAAGGCGCTTCTCATATTAATATAATTTGCAATTTTACTGGTTAACTACGTAAATTTTACCTAAATTGACTAATTGTTTGAACTTTTCAAAGTGTCTAATGAATTAACCTTGATTTGTAGTTAAAGTGATTACAACTGATTTCAATGAAAGGATTGGGAGTAAAATTTTCAACTTCATTCAAATGTCAACCTTGGAAATTTATTTAAATATCATTTCATTATCTGGGTTATTGATTACATGGTAATGCTAGTAGTACATTACCAGGGACAATCTGATTGCTGTTGACTGATTACTTGACTTTGATGCGCATCTAAAAATAGATTTGCTGTCCAAATAATTAAATCATGAAACTGAGATTGCCTATGAAAATGAAAGGATGAAATAATGGAGCAAAAAGAGTTACCCAATTTTTGCAACCCAAAAGTGTGTGTGAATGTGTATTTATAACACACAAGTCTGTTATACAACAAAATAGATTTATAATTTTTAAATTTTAAGACAAGTGATTTAATACAGTATTTAATATTATTTCGGTACAATTTAAATTAATCAATATTTAGCAATAATTGTGAAAATACAATGAAATACCGCAAGAGCTTCAACATCTATACATAAAGCAGCAGCTCTCAACGTCTTTTTTTGATCAACATGCGGTAACAACAACCCTTTCTTTTGTTATTGTAATTGTGATTCGCATATTTAGTCTTTTGATTAATTGTTACTTGTGTGTATTTAATTTATACTTTAATTGGTTCAATTTTATAGAATGGTGATGGTAACAATTGACTGACAGTGGTTAAACAAGCTTTAATGTGGACATTATCATCAATCAAAAACAATCTCAGTCCTGCCTATCTGTAAACAATTTTTCTGAGCTTGGACATGTTTACATGACTCTAATCAAGTCAACAGCTTTAATTAAATTTTATGGACTCTATTTTTCTGCCTTCCATCATTAACCAGGTAAATATGCATCATTTATTGTGAAAATTAATTCTATCATTCTAATAATTAGTCTACAAGCACTAAAATAAAGCATTGCTTGCTATTGATATGCTTTAACAGCAACTGCTTTAGTTGCTTTGTTGGTGCATATCTTATTAGAGATTTTTTATCCTAATTCGAGCTCTTTTTCAGTATTTTTCATTATTGTTATCTAATTTTGATCTATCTTGTCTATTTCACTATTCAGATACAAGGAACTATATTTTACTATTGAAGGAACAACGGACCATTCCTATTTACATCGTATACAAGGATATTTTTTCCAGCTAATAATTACTCATATTTTGCCGATAAATTCTGGACAATCAACTATACTTAAACAGATCATTATATTTTAATCTCAAGTCTACGATTTCTGATCAATGATTTGCCCATTTGCTGGTATCAACCTTTTATTTATCCTGAAAGCATAATAAAAATCAGAGGAAGGCAATAATAATAAACAAGAAACACGGAGAAATTAAAAGAAGGAGAGATTGAAATTCGGTGTAACCGTATTAATCAATTAACTGGTGATAAAAGATGGATGGTTACATCGATTGTTGAAAGGTTGTCATCAGTGATTGTTGTTATCTACGGTTATCGAGATTCCAAGCAAACAAATTTGACGGTACCGGCAGTCAAAACGGATCTATGCTGTCCATGTTTCACTTCCTCCTCATCCATTTCCTCTCCTCATCATCACTGTGCAAGTCAAATAACCAGAGAAACTTATCCTGACTCTAAATCGCACCCAACCAATTTAGGTATCATTGATAGATGTAAAAAATGGAGATGGCTGGTTAAAAATGGAAGCAACCGATTAAATGAGGAGAAAGTAAATTGTACAAATGAAGATCTTCATGAGGACCATGTTAGCGAGTTGAAATATGGGCCAGATTCTTCATCTATTGAAATAGATGATTGTTCAAGATGGAAACCCCAGAAACAATTTGTCGTTGTGGTCGATCTCGATAGTAACAATAATGATACCAATGATGGCAAGAGTGACACCCTATCTGGATCAACGCACGACATTGAGATGACATCAAAGAAACCGGTAAAAGCTTCACCGGTTAAATTAACCTTTGAAGGATTTGGAAGTAGTCTGGATGGTCAATCTTTGCAAAGGCGATCACTTAATCAGCATCATAACGCTTCATTGGATGAGGTAATTATCGATTGAATTTACCATTTTTACCCAAAAAATCTTGAAATAAGTGAAGCTTTTCATTTGGTGAACCTTTAACCGTAATATCAGTTCACCTTTTTGGCGAAATCAAATTTTAAATCGATATTCGTCGTAATTTTATTGATTAAAGGCCGGTAAACTACTTATTGATTCAAGTCTGTTGAGTATTTCAATGTTGCTTATTATTCGTATGAAAATCTAATTTCAACTTGCAATAGACAATTTGTATGAAAAGATGAGGCATGAAACAAGAGATGAAATGAATAGAAATTATCTTCATTTACTTCCAATAGTTTCAACCCAATTATTTCCATCCATCTGAAATTGTATCACATTTGATTAAACATAACCCTTCCCAAAACCGTAAGTTTATTTCACCCTTTATTAGTGCTCCAACCATTGAATTAATGTAATGTTATCATGATCATTACACATCTTTCGTAAAGTCTTTATAATCTAACTCTCCTTTATACCAAAAAACATTCAACTTGAACCATTGAGCTGAATAAAATTACCCTAGAGGTTTAAGTTAACCATTTATTCAATCCATCCACTTGTTTAATTGTTTAACTCAAACAACAATCCATGACAAGGGACCAATTTGCTGTCCATCCAAAATTACCAACACAGTATTATAGTTTTGATTTCTTTCAATGATTAACTTATCCATTTCCTCACAGGACTAATTACCAAGGAAACATGTTTACCATCTCAAGTTTAGATTGAAAAAGATTAACTATTGTTTAAAAGCAACACCATGTTGATAGAACAAAATTTGTTGATAAAAAGCATGAAAAACTAATTTGAAATTACGTCCTCTGAACCAATATCATTCAACAACAACAATCACAAATTGTGATACACAATGCTTGAAATTAATGATAACCATACTAGATACTGAAGCTAGTGAACTTAGTGAGTGAGTGAGCCGGTTATAGCCTGGCTTTAGTTTTAGCCAATTTTTTCACCACTAAGCCAGCTTTAGTGAGTCAACTAAAAGCTCGCTAAAATGACTGAAATTTGAATTTCGAACTCAAGTTCGAGTGTTTTCAATAGTTGGTTTGACACTAACCAAAAAAGGTCACAGCTCACTCCTAAAAAATTGAAGAAAATTCTTTGCAATCATGACAATTCTGAATTTGTTTGGTATGATTGGTTGAACTATGATTGGTAATATCAATTTCTAGTAATAAAATTTTGTCATAAAGTCAAAACAATACACCTTTTTGCCTTTAGTCAGTCAGCTAGCTAAACATAAATTTCCAACTAAGACTAAGCCAATTAGTCGACTATTAGCTTAGTGAGTGAAAAATATCATCAAGTTAGTGAGCCGAGAGACTTTCGGCTCACTTCGGTATCTAAACCATACATTTATATCATGTGACTTTTATAACAAACATTAGCGGCAATAGATGGAGCCAGCATATCAATTGCAATCGCCTTTTTTAATTTAAGTCAATTTTTAAGTTAATTTAATTTAATTTTTTTCTTATCGTTCAGTGAATTATAAATTTTGCTCATACAGAGTTTGTGACACCCAGAGTACCTTACCGATCTAATAAATTTAATCATCGAAATCCAAGCCAAAAAACATTCAAACATAAAATAATCAAACATAACAATAAAAAACTAAATTTAAAAATTTAATGGTCAGGGTCAAGTTAACAAAAAAGGGTCAGACTTATGTTATTTTTTAGGTGTCACGAGCATATTTAGTTAGTAGATGTAAGATAAAACAATGTAATAGAAAACTGAACAAAATGAAGTTCCATCTTATTCACATTGTTTCATTGATCCATAGACTATGAAAATCTTGTTAACTTAACCCTGACCACTGGTGTAATCTGAGAAAGACAGAAAATATTCTTGATTGAGATTTATTTCAGATTAAATTGTATTCTATTTCATGTCTGTATATTCCTAAAAGAATCTCAATGATTTTTAGAAACATTTTGCGACAATTTTGCTTGATTGAAAGGGCAGATTGAAAAATAATCAACTTTTTTGGTTGAAAACAAAAAATGAAATTTCAAGATCAGTTAAGATAAAATTTTATCAAAATGTATTTTTTATGAAAACAAAATCATCTGATTTTGTTTGAAACTGGTCATTTGGTTTGCGTTTCATGGATCATAAAAATAATCAGGAATAAATATTCTGTATATTCATTCATATCTTGTGCCTTTCTCTGTAATTAATATTCAAATCATAAAATATTCAAACTTGAAAATAGCCAAATCTCATCAAATCAGCTGCCTAATAAAGCTTTACTATTGAATTTACTGCTAATTTCAATGAATATCAAATTGAAAGGTTTATTATTCATTATACAAGTAATAATTAGAGTTGATTTGCATTTTGAGATAATTTCATTTTGATTTGTCTGTTGGAACTACGATCTCATGATGTAAAGTTGATCGTTAGTTATTTTTCAGGTGATTGACTTGTTCATCTTTTCATTGACAATATTGTGCATTTGATGAAAACCTTATTGTTTTATAATTGACTAAAACGTGAGCTAATCTAATTACCAATTAAATGCACAACAAAACAAGTTGAACGACATTGAATATTATTCATTCAGCTATCTTAGTTCGTATCAACTTATCATTAACATTCAATGTACAAATATGATTTTTTTCATGTTAAACATGTTTTCAAACAAAATAAGGAATCATTTTTTTATATTGGAATCAATGATCTTGATCTTGAAAATGTGTTGAAAGAGTAAGAAAAAGGCAAATGAAATGAGTTTGGATGAAAACTCAAAGGAAAACCAAAATCTCATTACCCAAAAAAATGACCAGAAAATTGAAAAAATCCAAAACCTTTGACTTTTCCTGGTTTCATCAAAATGATTAGATTAGATTAATTTGATTTGGCTTAGTGTTCAATCATTTGGTAAATGTAACAAAAGAAATGTCACCTTTCAAGCGTTAATCTAAGCTAATTACTATTTTTAATGGCAAAGATCATTAAAGTTTTAGGAACAAATCAAGGCACAATTTTAGGGTTTGACCTTTTTCATTTCAGTTGGTTAACCACTAAAAATAAAACATTTTTGCCCAAAATAGATATTTAACTCGCTATTGATAATTGATTTAAGACGTATTTTCATGGATTTTGTAATCACTTTGTCATTTGTAATTGCAATTAAAATGGACAATCAGTGTGAATTTTTGGCTCCTGTCAAACGTCTCTTTTCTTCTTAGCATTCGCTTATCGTGAGTATTGGGTGTAGACTCATCATCCAAAATTCAATGTTTCGCTCTAATCCGAAACTCATAATAAATAGTAACATGAAAGTAGGTTAACATTCAGTTTGTCTTATCTTTTGTCCAAAGATGAAGACTAAAAGATTAGGGAAAAATGGCTGGAAATACCTAGCGTTTTTTCACTTTACGCCTGTTTGCATCCATAACTCAAAAAATATTGTATTATGCCATATTCATACCCAATATAAATCAGTTATAACTACTTATAACTAATTACATCAACCACTAATCACTCAACTAACTCCCAGTAAAATTTGAATTGCAACATCAGCTTTAGTCTGTATCGATCTCTATTGACAAATTGGTCAAGAACCGAAAAGTTAAGTGTCCATAGAAATAAACATTGCGGTGGGTTTTCTTTTATTCCTCTTCGGTATGTTCATTGTTGGTATAATAATAATACTAGCACTTTAGTTGAATTCGAAGGGTCTGCTTGGAAGAAAAACAGATGACACCCTTTGAGAGCAGGGCCTTTGACATATTTATATTCGAGTATTTGGCCATAGTTCCCTGTATCGGCTGAGCCAACCTTCAGATCCTCTAAACATTCAAATTTAATGTGTAAATTATGGTTTATCATCTAATATAATTTTTTTTCATTGAAAATGATAGAAAAACTGCCATCATCCTAATTAAATGATGATCAATTAATCATCATTCTTTGAGATTCATAATTTTCACATGTCTTTCGATGGATACGAACAAAAATGATTGAATAGAAAATTCATATCTTGTAGTAAACTTTTAATTTTTGTAGTAAACTATTAACTATTATCAGTTCGTTGACTCACCACCCATGAATCTGTTACAGAACATTTCATGTTGTATCGAAACAATTTCATCAATTCTTTAACCTCCATGCCATGATGGGAGTAAAAAATTTGCCCTTTTGATCTTTACCAGATATAACCGTTTCTTGAGTTGCATATCATCTGTATTGCTAAGAGATTTTAAATTAGATAAAATTGAAATGTGCAAAAATTTTCTCTCCTCTCAACAGGCATTCATGATTCTTTACTTTTCAGTGTTTATCACGAAAAGCAATGAACTTGAGTGCAGCCATAATAATTTGATTAATAAGTTGATATTGAGCTGAAAAATCTGAAGTAAACTTTAAGGCCATTGATCCGATTGACTATCAAACGAAACCTTATCGATAACTTAAATAAAAATTCAGGTTCAACAATTGTTATTTCAGTTGAAAAAATCTAATAATACTTCAAATCTTTTACAAACACATCTAACTCAACCATTCACTGAACCATTATATTAATATTGTAATTTGTCTAATAGTTTAATCCATAAATCTGTTAATCGACTTTATTATTAATAGATTTAAAGGGTAAGCCTAATCTGATTAAATTTGGACAAAAAGAAGTGACCTTTTCAAAGTTGAAGACTAATTGAAGTGACCAAAATTGAGTCTAATAATAACAAAATGTGTTTTTGTATTACAAAAGCGAGTCTCAATGATGTCAAAGGTTTAATCAAATCACACATTGAAACACGTGAAACAATTTATGATTAATATTTAGGTAAACGGTTTAAAGGATAATAAAGTTGAGTCAATTTCACTCATTTATCCATTGACCATAATATACTAGTAATAGTACATTTGAAAGTTTATTAACTTGACCAAATGCTGACAATAAGCTCACAAATCTCAATCAAGTTCAACAAGTGAAACGATTAATACATTTTTAC